TGGAAATACATCCAAGTGGATGGAGTCTACCTGTACCAGCTTTGCCCACACACACAGAGAACTCCTGCAGAAGTGTGAGACATGACTGGCTCTCACGGAGCTCTAGTGACTTTTTGCTAAGTTTTTGTATTTATTACTTTAGATAATATAGAAGAATATGTAAAGAAAGTATAGTATTATATGGTATATTCAGGAACAGTATATTGTTTGCATTCTCTAATATCATTCACGAATTTGATTCCTCTGCTAAAGACTCCATTAACTTACCTGGCATAGAAGCCATGTTTACCATTTGGTAGTTCCTTAAATGCCTCCTGGAACTCCTGTTAAAAAAACCAACATTATTACAGTGATTTCTCCTCTCTTTGCTTTTCTCTTTCTGCTAATCCAGTTGACGAATACTTTCAGCCATTATGCCTCACTCCAAGGTTATAGGAAAGTTACAGAAAAACATTTTTTACTGTAGCCTCTCAACTGCCTGTGAAATGAACAGTAAAGCCAGAGTCTGCCATTTATGACAAAGTCAACACACCAAATCACAGCTTTTCAAAGTTCTTTTCTATAGAAAAATGACCATGTTGCTTTAGTATCAAAATTTTGACTGCAAATAGCAATTTGTCTTCTTTTAGCCAGATGGAATGGATGGTGTTAGAATCTTGCAGGTTGTGTAATTGGGCAAAAAAATAGTTTGCTATGAAGAAAAAGGACCACTGATGACCTAATGCATGCTCACATGAAAGATGACATTGGCCACCAAATTGAAACCATGAATTTATTTTTTTCTGCTTACTGAAAGTAGAGGCTAGATGTGAGAGAACCACAGTCCTGTGTATACTTCTACTTAGGTTCAGCCAGATTACTCGGGTACTGGTACTTGGGTTAAGCTAGACATGTGCTAAAGGGGTGGGGGAAATACACCGTGCAAAGTAGACTGCAACCCAGTGATTTAGGTGATTTCCTGGTGAAATAGGTGACCTCCAGCAGAAGAAATTGCTTTGCATGCCTTAGCAGGTATTCAGGCCATTATCCTGCTAGACATTGGGATGGGAACAACAATATTTGTGTGTAAAAACTGGCAGCTGAAACTGTACTTTCAGAGGCACTGATCCAGTTTCCGTGGGTTTACTAAGCTCTGAGAACAGCTATTGGACTGAGCTTGGAAGGGTGAAGGATATCATACCTGGCTTAGGTAAGAGAAGTCACTATGTCATCAGTATTTTCAGTGCTAAGACATTCTGAGGTATCACTGTGGACAGCTGACTAGGCATCACAGAAAGAAAGCCTGATGTGCCTTCAGCTTAGGTAAGGGCTGAATGGTAGCTTGCAGGATCCTGGTAGAGGCCTTTGATGCCTTCTATCTGCATGTCCCATTTAAAAAGCTTCAACCCTTGCTCAGATTATCTTGTAAACCCTTTGTGCTTTGGTTTCTTTATAAAATGGGTAGTCATATGTATGTGTAATCATCGGTAATGTGATTTTCAATGTCTATGGAAAAGGTGAATATGTTTATTCCAGGTGCCTAATGCCAGAACTTGATAGAAGAGCAGCAAGTGAGATGCCATAAAAAAGCAGAGCAGAAGCAGGAAATGCAGACTGCCTCGGGACAGAAGATACAAACACTCATAAAAGAGGAACTGGTTAATGTAAGGCAGAATTCTATCTCTCAGCCCTGAAATAAAAATCAGATTCAAATAAGTTTTTGAAGTAACAGATTTCTATTCAAGATTGTGTGGAGATTTCTATGGTAGAGATCAGGAGTTGTGCAAGCATTTCTGAGCACTGTATGGAAGCAAGCTGCAAGAGCACAAATGTGTTAGGTTAAACCTCAAAGCCCCATATGCTGGGTAATTCACAGAATCATATTAATGGATGTGTTCTTTACAGATTAGATGGCACAGAGTGTGCACATGGCTTAGAGAGCTTTCTTCTGCTAAGGCACAAAGAAATGCAAATGCTGTTACTTGGACTGTGCCTGGGATTCACGGTAAGGGGTCATGTTATCAAGAAATAAACAGTTCTATTGTGGTATCAAGAAAGATTGGTTTTGAAGAAAAAATATTTTATGGAGGAGACCCTCACTGAATTAAAAAAACATCCAACAGAGATACTGGCCTGACAGAGGTATAAGGTAAGAGGTATGACACTACTAGAAGTATAATGTAAAGAAGAGTGTATCCTCTAAACAGAAAATATACAGACCCTAGCAAAATAAAAAGTTAACTGTAGGTGCCTCTAGGCCAGCTCTACATTGGGTGTCTTGACCTGCTCACACACAAAGCTCTCTGGCCTATTTTTCTCTGCCTTTCCTCCTTATATGTGAGCACAATTACCCTTTAGGATAATTCCTAGTCAGGAGTGGTATGTCCATACACTTCATCATAGTGTGACTGGAAAACTTCACTCAGCAACTAAAGACAGAAGTTTTTTCGTGGAAACATGGAAATTTAAGCCTGTGGTTTCTGAGATCCTTGATCTTTCATTCTGGAGTTTACTGCTCCTTTCGCTTGTAGAGACAAAGCCCAACATGTACAGGCCATTTTTTAAAAAAAGGAAGAAGTTGTGCAGGGTGTATCTCCTACTGAGATACAATGTGGGAAACAGAGTGCCCCTGCACATGACTCTCCTGGGAGCCTGGAGGAGCTTGCCCTGAGAGGCACCACTGAGGGGACCCTCAGCCTTTCCCAGCCAGCCTCGGGCTCTCTTTATGGAAACGCTGAGTCCTTTCTTGTCAGGAAACAGCATGAGCAAGTACCTACACGCTGTGCTCCCCTATTGGTCTTCTCAGTGCAGGATTAAATTCCTATATAAAAACATATACATATAGAATCATATAATGTGTTGGGTTGGAAGCGACCTTTAAAGGCCATCTAGTCCAACCCTCCTGCAGTAAGCAAGGACATCTTTAACTAGATCAGGTTGCTCAGCGCCCCATGAAGCCTGACCTTGAATGTCTCCAGGGATGGGGTCTCCACCACCTCTCTGGACAACCTGTTCCAGTGATCTACCATCCTCATATTGAAGAGCTTCTTCCTAATGTCCAATCTAAATCTACCCTTTTGTAGTTTAAAACCATTGTCCCTTGTCCTGTCGCTACATAAGCAGTCCTTCCCCGGCTTTCTTGTAAGCCCGCTTCAGGTACTGGAAGGATGCTATAAGGTCTCCCCACAGTTTTCTCTTCTCCAGGCTGAACAACCTCAATTCTCTCAGTCTGTCTTTGTAAGAGAGGTGCTGCAGCCCATATATATGTGTGTGTGTGCGTGTGCGTGTGTGTGTGTGCATATAAGTATGTATTCATTCTAAATACGCATATACAGTTACAGTCACTCGACCAATAACGCATCCCACATCCCCGTACGGCTCCTTTCCCAACGCCTGACCGCTTTAACGGTCGTCGGGTGGGGCCCTGCGCCAGCCCCGCCCACCGCGCGGCTCTCGGCGGCGGCGGGGCGTGCTCTGAATGAGTTGTCCCTCGGAGGCCGCCGTCTGGGTCAGGTGAGCGGCGTCACATGACGACGGCGGCTGAGGGGGCTGCTGTGGAGAGTGGAGGAGCGAAGCGCAGAGGCAGGGGCTTTCGGGTACGCGGGCTCCCCGGGCCTGCAGAGGGGGGGCTGCAGCCTTTTCCCTCCCGCAGCCGGCGTGCCCGTGGCGGTGAGTGGGAGCTGACCCGGGCCCTACTCTTCAAGGGAGGTGGACGAGCGGGCGGCTGAGGGGTCCCTGGGTTGGGGGCGTGTGGCCGCACTACCTTTCACGGGGCTCAGGCAGGCCCAGCTTCACGGCCTCCCTGGGGGTTGGGGTGCCCCTGGGCGCCTCAGGAGCCAGTGCAGGGAGTGGTGGCCAAGTGCTTTTCCCCGCCTCCCCTCTGCCCCAGGCGCCTCTTGGCTTGTCTGGTGCCCTGAAACCGCTGTTACCGACTCTGCCCTTCTCTGCAGCTCGAGGGGTTTTTAAATGGCTCTGACTGGGTCATGGCAGAGCTGGGAAACGTTCAGTGGTCCTTGAAGGACACGGTAAATGGTGCCGTCTCTGTGGGTGTCTGCTGACAGAAGGAGTTTTGAAGGGAGGACGGTTCTGCTGCGCCATTTGTTCGTGGTAGTTCCTTTTTCTCATGTTTTCATTCAGTCATACAAACAAGGTGTATTTGTTGGGGATGGGGCAGAATATGCCGGTTTGCTCTTGCTTCTGGAAAGGGAGCCAAAATAGTCCAGAAACAGGCTGTGTGGAGTGGTTTGATGCAGTTTAGGTTGTAAGGAATTCCTGCTCCAGCTTGGTCTCAAGCCTCTGCAAACACACTTCGTGTTTTGGCATCAAAGTCAGGTGAAGCTTAAAACGTAAAGAAAGTAGAAAGGAGAAGTGGTGAAGGTCACTGTCTCTAGTAATGTAGTATGTCCTGATGAATAGCTTCTGTTCGCATTTATTTTTCAGTTTGCTTTTTGTACACTGATGGTTTTAAGTTTTTTAGTCTATGTAACATGGCTTTTAATTTATAGAACTTTTTTGTTCTTTCTGAAGTTGTAGTTCACGTGTTTCGGATGTCTAAATATTCTTAAGCAAATAACTGAATTGAATCAGCCCTAATATCTGGGGGGAAGAGTGTTGTGTACTGAATTTTAACCCTTTTCATCAGCCCTAACTTGGAAAGAAGACAAGTTCTGTTATCTGTAAGGCTGCTTAGGCATTGAAGAAAGGTAGTCTTTATTCAAATAATTTCATTTGATTGTTTGAAAATTTACAAGACTGGGAGTTCTTTAATAATGGTATATATCTTCTATTTTAGCAAACTTGTTATTGGCTACACTTTAGTGTGTAGATATGGCTTATTTTTGTTTGTTTCAGGGAAGTCACATTCTGTATACTGTGTAAAACTTCGATTTCTCAGGAAGTACAGTTTTAGGGAATGTGTCACCTGTAAACAGACTTTCCTTTTTTTTTCTTTAGAATATTGGACAGATACTCTGCTCTTTAGTACTTTAATAAGAGGTCTCAAATCTGACTTGCATTTCTAGGTACATTTTAATTATCAATTAAGATGGATATCCGAGGTGCTGTAGATGCTGCTGTCCCAACAAACATCATTGCTGCCAAAGCTGCTGAAGTTCGGGCAAACAAAGTAAACTGGCAGTCGTATCTCCAGTAAGTAAAAACTTTCCACAGTTTTTTTCTTTTCTTTTTTTCCTTCCCTCTTGAATGTTAGACTTTTTGGGATTTTGGGTTACTTTGGAACATTAGGTTACAGTGAAGGACGTTCTGTCTTGGTCCCATGAAAACAGTCTACATTAGATGGAAATGGTTGGGGAAAATTTTCTCATGACTTATTACAAGAAAGGGAACTGCTTCTGTGAAATGAATGTTGTAATAACACATAATATAAGTTTGCACAAATGTTGGTAGAACTGCCTACTTCTTTTCTCCTTATCATTCAAACACTGTTCTCAATTCTATCCTTGTTGGACAAGCACTGATGTAAGAAAAGTTTACAGTAAAAGCTGTCTTATGTGTAGGTGTGTTATCTCTGTTGCTGAAGTGCCTTATGTGTGAATACAAAGTATACTAGCAGAATGGGACTGGTGGTCCAGGAAAACAAGCTTTACCTCAGCTAAAGGAAGAATAGTGTTGGAGAGCAATTGAAACAAGTAAATCAGGAGAGTAGTCTGAAACAGATACTTCAGTGTGGGGAGAACTGTGCTGCTCTTTCAGATAAGCTCAGAGCTTGCTTTGGTAGGTATATAATGGCACTGGGTATAGCAGGAGATCTGTTCAAAGAGTGTATTTGGACAAGCTGAGGAAAATAGATTTGTGCGTGAGGTAGGGAACAAGGACAAGAAACAGATTTTACTAGTCCTCTGTACTCTGAAGTGAAATGCAGGATTCTTGCATCTCTGTATTCCTCATGACAGGTACCTGTAAAGCATATTGGCAAAGTGTAAATTAGTATTATCTCTTGAAGGTCCATGTATAATAGTAAATTACTTCACTGTTCATTGCTTTGTAACTGAAGTGGCAGATACCTTGATGATTCTAGAGGTACAAGCCATGCTGATGATGCTTTCTGTTTATCAACGTTACACCACTTTGCAAAAAACAGGGTTTTGTTTTTTTCAGATAGCTGTGATACATAAATATATGCTATATATTAAAATAAGGTTGCAAAACTGTACACATGCAAGCTGAGAAATGCTAACATGGTAGAATCTCATTAATGACTACCTGCTTTGCCCTGTGCTATGTGGATCATTTATGCCTATTCCTTTCATTCATTTATTCATTGTGTTATTTTTTTTTCTTTGTGATTGTATATCTGCATGGTAAACTGGATTAAGCAACTGATCTGCTGAGGAAACTTCCTCTTTCTAGGCTATTTTTTCAGATGTATCAGTTCCTTGTTCAGTTTGTAGTGTGCCATTATGGTGGCTTTGCAGGTGAAAGAGTGAGGTTGGTGTGGTAACTTGACAGTGGCAGCTGCCAAGTATTTGTCTGTGTTTGCCAAGTATTTAAGGATGTAAATGGCTTTTGCTGTTACTATGGGCTCTGTTACCCATCTGATAGTTTGTCCTGCGGAAGCCTGGGCAGCCGTTTCTGTGTTGTCCTAGTGACAAGTGAACAGCTAATTCACAGCTACTTGGTGTGGGAACTTGACAGTGGCAGTGTTTGGCAAGTGTTTTAGGATTTTAATGGCTTTTTTTAAGGATGTAAATGGCTTTTGCTGTTACTATGGGCTCTGTTACCCATCTGATAGTTTGTCCTGCGGAAGCCTGGGCAGCCATTTCTGTGTTGTCCTTGTGACAAATGAACAGCTAATTCACAGCTATTCGGGATGAAAGTGGGAATACAAGTGTTCACTGTCAATCTAAGTGAATATGGGGTAGCCTTTTCCACTCTGTCTCTAGTGGTTCAGACTGTAAGGCTGGTGAGATTAATCTGTTGCTTTTATTACTACAGGAGATGGTTCTTTTTGGCAAGGAGTTGCATTTTAAACCTATATATAGTTTTAATTGCCTAACTGTTCTCTATGTGGTCTACCACTTATAATTTGCCTTTATTTTTGGGCTTCTCTCTGGTTCTGAATAAAAGATGGAGGAGTTTTGTTTATTTCTGTGGCATCAGATTTCTGTGTAACTTCTTTGAACCAGGAGGGGAGGTTGATGGTTCTTTTTCAGATTCTAGGTGTAGAATTTGACTTGGTTTTGTTCTGGAATCCATGACCAAAGAATGTACCAGTTATTTCCTCCCTTTGATAGGTTAGCCAAGTTTTGGGGGCTACTGTAGTGCATCTGGCTAGTATTTGTGACCCTATTGCAAGACTGTTCAGTGCTTGGTGCCCTCTGTATGTCAGTGACAGCATGTCCTGTTTATTGTTGCTCTGAAATCAATGTTATCTTTGTCTTGTATTTACTGATAACAGTCTGACTGTCTGGCTAAGATAGCTTCAAGGATGAACTTAAGTGGTGCCAGAGGGGTTGTGGAACATCATGAAGGCAACTGTAGTTCCTTGGCTGAGGAGTTTGCGTCTCATTAGTTATTGGAAAATATCAGCAGAACTTCTGGTGCTTCTAGGGAGGAAATAAAATTATACCTGGTTTTGGACATAGTCCCTTTTACAATGGGCAAGTTTGGATGTGATGGTGTCTTTTAGGATTTGTTGAAAAGGGAGCTAGTGCAGCCATATTGACTCATTTCTGGAATGAAGTACATTATTAGTGAGTGGAAATTCCTTGCTTCTGATGCAGCTGTTAGAGGCAGGTCAGAATGCCTTGTTCTGGTCTATAGAGTAGAAGGAAGATGGGGTGCTGATGATTTTGAAGGATGCTTCTCTTGTTTCCTTTTTAGCTCCAGTTCTATCAATCTGCATTTAGTGTGGTAAGCTCACATTTAAATACATGGAGGCTTACTTCAAGTCTTTAGATGTTTTTACATTAGAGGAAAGGTTTTTATATTTATTTTCCCTAAGTTAATACATCAACATGACATAATTTGTGTTCCTTGCACTGCGGGTAGTATCTATGTAGTTGGAGTTAAAGAAATTCTGATGAAGTTGTTTAGTGGTAGTTAGTTGTTTGGTGTTCTTTGTTTTATTTTCTTTTTTAAAATCTGGCTGTGACAGTTGTATGTGTATAAAAATGCTTTGAAGATTGCATCAGTCATAGCAGCATTGGAGTCTGGGTCACACAGGAAGGCATTCTGAAGTTCTTTTCTGCTCTGTGTGGCTTACTGATCGTTGCTCAGACTCTAATAACCTGACTTCTCTGGTAAAGTCAGTTCAAGCTAAAGATTAACTGATTTATTCCATCTCTGAAGGTTATAACTGTAAACTAAATGTCAAACTATGCTAACACACAACTGCTGACTTTTGATGTTTTTTGTGTATATTGTTGTCTCTGAAGTGAAATATTTAGGTGCATTGCAACCTACTGTGCATTGGTTTGCCACTGTGTTTACTGCTTGCTTCAAATTTAGGCTGTGGAAATTTTTTTTTTCTTTTAATGCTAAAATTTAAACTTTCATTGTGTTGAATTCCAGCAAGGGTCTATGTCTGAGTGAGAAGAAAGTAACAAAAGCTTTGTTTGTTTTTGCTTTAAAAAATTAAGGGAAAAAAAAACCCCAAAATTAAAAGCCAAACAAAAAAACCCCTACTCGACTAACCTCCAGAATGACTTATATTAAGTCATTTAAACAAAAAAAGGAACAAGAGCTGCTGGAGGAAATGCATAATAAAAAGAAGGATCACAAGTTTCTGAATCATCTTGAGAGATAAAGAAGTTTAAAAAATGGTGGTCTTGCAAAGTCATGCTTTCTAAATCTTACACAGCTTCAGTTTACTCTCCTGTAACTAGTGCTTTTGAAGGCAGGCCTTAGTGTCTCAAGCACAGCACTTTGAAAGTGTGGTTACAGGACTCTTGTTTTAAACCTTATATACCCAGACAACTGAAGCTTAATCAAAGTGACTCTTATCTGCTGACAAAAGACTGTATAGACACATCCTGGAATATAAGAAATTGAATGGCCTTTAGGAAGAAGGATGGAGGAAAGCTTTGGTTGCTTGCATTGTTTGGTTAAAGGTGCTGAGAAATTTCTCTCTCTTTGAAGAGGAGATGAGGAAAATGTGGCAATAGCATCATGGTAGCTGGTATGAGCTGTCTGAGGCTGCTTTGCATTTTTTCATGGTTGTGGGTTTTTTTTAATTTTCACTGATTTATAAGGTTTACTACATAATAAGTTATTTGAATTTTAAAATGAGATGAATGGAAATGGATGCATTTGAAAGCAATAAAACTACTAATCAGATGTATGAGATCCCTGACAAAATATTAACTACTCACTTACAAAACTGTCAGATCCCTTCTACTGTTCTGTAGAGGTTGGAAAGTGTCTTTTTGAATGGCACTTATAAAGCAATAAAGAATAAAGCTAACTTGTTTTCTTCTCAAGGCAACATCAATCCACACACTTTTTTTTCTTTTTTTTCCTCCTCTGGTCTAATGTAGGATGTCAACAAAAGCTTGAAAGCTTTTTTTGTTGACAGTTGGCAGAGCTCTTCTAATAGCCTGCCTATAAAGGAGCATTTCTCTTCCTGGGCTGAGGCTTTTTTAAGCATTAAAGCTAAAATGTCATCTTTGAAGTGCTTCATTAATGGTATTATTCTTACAAACAAGCAGCTCATCTGGTTACTTTATGTCAGTATCATTGGGGAGTCCCTGGCTTGGCCAGCATTGATTGAAACATGAGAGGCTTGTAGTTATGGGTTGTTACGTCCAGTATTTATGGTTGATGAATTGTCCTCATCTTTCAACAGCTACTCAAATCCAGCCTTAATGGACAAGAAAGAACGCAAGTCAGTCTAAAAGGCATGTGGTAGCAGCATGATCATCATTAGCTAATTAATTTTTCATCTATAATCACTTAAGTTTTAGTAGAAACTAGGCAAGGACTACCACTGGCTTTATGAATCTTCCATCTGCTAAGTCAATTGACTTTCCTCAGTGCATATGAAGATATTTCTTATAAAGCAGCTAGAATACAGGAATAATGCATGTGTTACTGGACTACTGATGTTCTTTGCTTGAAAAGTAAATAGGTGAAAGATGGCTCTGATGAGGCCATCCTCAAGACATAACCGTTTGAGAGGAAGGATAAGAACACATTGTAGGTCTTACTTATGCTTCTGTGTTTCAAGAATCTAGGTGAGCCAATTTAAAAAAAAAAAAGAGAAACTAACATTTTCTGTAAGTTTACAAAGATTTCAATGGAATCCCTAGAAAAGGAACAAATGGAAACTGACCTGGAATGTTGAAAAGATGGATGAAAAGAATCTGTGCTATGTACCTTTGCAAAGTGGAAGAGGCATTTGACTGAGTGGAAATGTAGGAGTGTAAGAGGAGATAAGTCTTGGAAATAACTGAAACAGAGCAATGTCTAATACTTTCATCCTCTGTGACTTTTGTATTGCTGATGTGCACAATTTTATTCTTTCCTGGAGCACTCCTAGTATGAACTAGTAAAGGTAGTCACCTGTTAGTCTTGGGTATTTTCAGGACTACTTGATTTCAAATTAGTTTTCTTGCCTGAACAGTACCTGACTGTACCATTTTGCCAAATTTGTTATTTGTTGTGATGATAAGTTCTGTATTATAACAAAAACTCAACAATATTCTGCTAGCTTTTCAGCTGAGTCAACACACTTTCTGAAATAGCACTGATGATGGCAGTAACCCTTTGAATATTAAGTTAAAGAGAAGATCAAGTAGAGATCTGTTACCTTACAGGTGTCCAGAGCAGTTTACTATATCAAGTTACCTTGCTATGTGTTTGGATGAGCTTGCATGTATATCAGTTTTCAAACTACCAGGAAAAGCTAAAATGTTGTAGTTAGTGAAAGTTAAAAATACATTGGGACCAAGTTCTCTGTACTTATTAGAATTCTCTTCAGTACTTATAGCAAACTTAAAATAACAATTTTATTTTTCAGCACTCCTTTCAGATAGGACTAGAGTATAATTCATGTTATGTATTAAAATTTTGGCATAATGTGCTAGCTGTGTGTAGCTGTTCTTAAAACTGTTTCCACTGATGGTTGCGTTCAGCCTCTGGAAGTTTAAGAATTATTTAGAGGATGCTGTTGAGCAGAGGTGATGCATAAGGAAGGGTTAAGAGAGATTATTCTGTCATCACTTAAATTCTTTGTATGTGAGACCTTTTGCAGAAGGGAGCTCTTTGTGTTCTATTGTGGGATATAGGATTGGTAAAGCAATACCATTGAGATATCAAACTGAAGAAAACAAGGCTTGTTTGGTGGGCTGACTTTGGCTGGCTGTCAGGTGCCCACCAGGCCACACAATTACTCGCTCTCCATTGAAGGGACAGGGGAAGAAAGACAACAAAAAGTTCTTGGGTTGAGGTAAGGACAGGGAAATCACTCAGCAGTTACTATCACAGGCAAAACAGACTCAACTTGAGAAATTAGTTTATTTATTGCCAATTAAACAGACTAGGACAATGACAAATAAGAACAAATCTAAAAACCAACTTCCACCCCACCTCTCCCTTCTTCCCAGGCTCAACATCACTCCTAACTTCTTTACCTTCTTGCCCCGAGTGGTACAGGAGCATGGGGGTTGCGGTCAGTTGATAACGCTTTGTTTCTATTACTCCTTCCTTCTCATGCTCTTCCCCTGCTCCAGCATGGGGTCCTCCCCACAGGTTCCAGTCCTTCATGAACTGCTCCAGTGTGGATCCTTTTTCATGGGGTACGGTCCTACAGGAACAGACTCCTCCAGTATGGGTCTCTACATGAGATCACAGGTCCTGCAAGAAAACCTGCTCCAATGTGGACTCCTCTCCATGGGATCACAGTTGCTGCCAGGAGCCTGCTTTAACGTGGGCTTTTCCATGGCTTCCTCTAGGGCACACCTACCTGCCCTGCATGGGGTCCTCCACATACTGGAGGTGGGTATCTGTGCCACTGTTAACCAGCGTGGGCTGCAGGGGACAGCCTGCCTCACCATGGTCTTCTCCATCGGCTGCAGGGGAATCTCTGCTCTGGAGCCTGGAGCACCTCCTCCCCCTCCTTCTCTGACCTTGATGTCTGCAGAGTTGTTACTCTCACATATTCTCATGTCTCTTTCCTTCTGCTCTTGCAGTGTCACAGGTTTTTTTTCCTCTCCCTCTTAAATAGAGGTGCTACCACTGTTGCTCATCCTTGGCCAGCAGCAGGTCTATCTTGGAGCTGGCTGGTGTTGGCTTTATTGGACATGGGGGCCATTTCTGGTGCCTCCTCATAGAAACTGCCCCCACAGCCCTGCCACTACCCAAGTCTTTACTCATAAACTTAATACAGTTTGAAATAACTTACAGTTCATGTTGCTTATGGTTTCATATTTTGCTTTTCAGAGGGCAGATGATTTCAGGTGAAGACTGTGAATTTATTCAGAGATTTGAACAGAAAAGAAATCCAGAAGAAAAACAGGAGTTGTTGCAAACAGAAGGCAATCAAGTAACTTTCCTTTCTTTTAATAATATCTCTTTTGAGGAGGAGGATGGAAGGAAATTTTTGTTTAATGTTGGCTGTATACTGTTAAGATGTTATGGAAGAGGGATAAAGCTTGCTATAGGCTGGACATTCTTTTAAAAACCTACTAAGTAATTATTAATTGTCATCTGACTTTGACTCCATTATGGGACAAGCTAGCTCAAGTCTTTCCTCATCCCAGTTTCCTTAATCGTGCACACTTGTACTTTAGTCACTTTTTTTTTGGAGCTTTTTTGCATATGGTTTATTGATGAGGGCTACCACCTGTGAGGTTTCTGCATAGTTAGCTGAACAATTATGATGTGCTAGAGTCCACTGACTGCTAAAGTGGATTCAGTTAAACACAGGTGTCTAGTGCCATTTTAGGAATGGTAAGGTATGAGACAGCTGCATTGGACAGAGCTGATATAAGACTGATAGGTGACCCATGCCATTTGGCTTATGGAGTCCAAGCAGGATGCCCGAAGATACTTTAATGATATTTGAGCAGTAGAATCTCAGCCTTAAAACCTGATGTTTTAGCAGACAATGTCAGACAAGGTAGAAGAAGGGTGAACAGTGTGAGATACACTGAAGACACACAGCTTTCCAGCCCTTTTTTCTACTTTAATTTTATGCTGTGGTGTTTTGTTGTTGGTTTTTTTTAACCTCCAAATTGTATTTTGTGTCTGCTATGTGATGGACCATAATTTGCATAGTGACAACAGCATATACGGTGAACATTATATGCCACTGTATAATTATGGTGGAGCAGTTCAGAGTTCCATTTTTTCTGCAGTTTTAGCTGAATGTGGTGAAGGGGAAGGAAGGAGTGCAGAAAGTAGTGTTGTGACTATTTCAGCCTCTTATATCTGTTGCTGAAATTGTAGAGTTGTTCAGGAGGCAGAGAGCAGCTCAAATATGAACAAAGATTTGTATACAAGGAGATGAACGGGTAAGAGTGAGCTGTCTTCCTCCCTCCCATTCAGGTTGCTGAAACTTTCTTATGTCGAAACTTGTTGCTGTCTTGTCAGTTTTACTTGCTGCTTTTCCTTACTGCCATAAAAAGATGAGATTTTTCTAATCAGTCGTTCAACAAAGCACCTTGCTGGCTTTCACTAGTGATTACTTGTTATTTCGTTTGAAAGCCATAAAACAATTTCTAAAAGGAAATTATCTATGTGGCAAAGTTTTCTTTGTAATATAATGTCATATGTATTAATCTCTCATTGCAGTTGAATAAGAAGTTGGGATGCTCAATGCTTTTGTAAGACTTAACCATGAATTAATGTAGTCCTGTTTTATATTATCAAAAGGAATGAAGACAATTTCTAATATTAATTTTAATGTCTCTTTTATTTTTCTAGTGTGCTAAAACATTTATAAACTTGATGACTCATATCTCCAAGGAACAGACGGTTCAGTACATTTTGACTATGGTTGATGATATGCTGCAAGTAGGTCAATGACCTGGCTTATTTTTAAGTCTTTGAATGCATGCTTGAATGCTTCCTTAGCCTGATTCGGGTCTTTTCAGGTGCTTTTCATACTGTACTATTATTTTAAGTTTTCAGATTTTGTCTTCAGAAGTTAAATGTTAGAACTAAAGTTGTATGGGTAACTTAGTTTTGTGTGTGTGTTTGTGTGTCTGTGTGTTTTGGAAATAAAACATACCCGTATGCTTGTCTGTCAGCTCTCAACCATGTTTCCTGCAAAACTTGGATCTTAAGGGATGATCTGTGACATCAACCTTTTCCTGTTGTGTAGATAGGATATGACTTCTAACGTGAAGTTGTTGAAGCTTTTCCTACAAAGGTGTTGATTTGGCTGCCCTATGCAAGAAGGTGTAGTTTCTGCAGCTTCAGGCTTCCAACATGAGTTGGACTGTTTAGGACATGATCTGAAACTCCGCATGGTTTAATTATAAAACAGTAACTTTTGGTTCAATAAAACATGTAGCTCTTTGTAGCTATGAGATCCAGTGACTTAGAGTAGACTATTAAATTTCATGTCAGGACTGCTGTGCTGACCTGGACAAGTCAAGAGAAGACTTTACTCAGTCAGATAATCTTGCTTTTGCATTTATTTTCTCTCTAGAAGACTAAGAGAAAGTGGTTGGAGTGATGATGTAACAAGACGGGTTGAGTTGTACAAGGTTTTCTTCTGGTATTCACGTAGAATATCTGGCTGCTTGACAGTTTCTCTTCCACTATTTTACGTTATATTTAATACAAAGTTATGGTGAAACATGTCTAGTGATGACTTCACAGTTTAGGGCATTGCCCTAGGAGTTGAATCATGTGAGTTCTAATTCCAGCTCTGAGTATTCAGTATTGTCAACAGGCAAAGTGTGAACATCTACACAGTACACATAACATGGGAATTACGATGTTCTTTCAGGGGCCTGACTGCATGTTAGAGCCCTGAGTGAGTGCCCTGACTGCTAGGATAACAGCTAGTGGTGGTGGTAGCGGTTTATTCATGGCCTTATGCAGCTTTGTCACTCTTAACACTCTTCCTCTTTTTTTACTTTTTCTCAAGCGTGACTCAAACATCAAGAAGGAGAGACAGCAAAAGGAAGCCTCAGTGTCATTCCTTGATTAGGACACTGAGCTGGGAGTACTTTGTTTTGGTTTATGCATTTGATGACAAACTTTGTCTTAGTGTGTGAGAACTCTGTTTATTATGCCTACTTTTTTGAGAAATGTGTCTCATTTTCTGTGTGTGAGAGAGAGGTGGCCACAGAAGTAATCATTTTGCTTGCCCTTCTTATGAACTTTTTGTGAGTGTTAGTAGGTCTTGTTTTGCTTATGTGCTTTGGCGTTAGCACATAGCCTATAGGTACAATATGCAGTATCTGATATAATCTCCTGTGCTGTGGAATTAATATCCCACAGGTAGAGGCTTTCACTGGCCTACTCTTGAACAATTGCATTAGTTCTAGGTGGTCACAGAAAGTAGTTTTGAGCAATCTCTTATTTGCCATACTGGTTCTGTCATACATGCCTAGATGAACACGTTTTCTTGACTTTATGGTCATGCACTGAAATTGGTGTATGCAGGGCCTTACCCTGCCACAGAAGTGGCATGTGTGGAATTCTTAATGTAAAACATTAAGAATTAAGGACTCGTCCAAGCTTTGTAGTCATACAGGGGAATAGGTATGTTGGTACACAGTATGTATTTGCTTTTGTTTGAAATTGGATGCCTTTTTAACTTCAGAAATTCTGCTTCAGTGTCTGAAAGGCAGCACTGGCTTTTGCAGTGCTCTGTGTGACTTCATTTTTCAGGGGTATCTTACTGCTGGCAAAGAGAGCTTGTGTGCAGGCATCTGCATGGCATCATCCCAACCCTTTATGCCTCCACTAGGCAAGGCTGAAACAGGACTTCTGTTTTCCTTTGATCATGTTCAGATGGTAAAACATGCTGTCAGCAATGCCTTATGGACCCTTGGTTGCACATTTTCAGGGCATAAGATTCTTGTCAGAAAGCAGATGTTCACCCTTGACTCTGAGTTTAGTGCAGGGTCTCTGCAGACTGCATGGACAGAAGAATCCACAACACTGGATATGAAATCTCCGGTCTCCAATTAGTCTTAATTCAGTGCACGCAGAGATTTTAAGCGATAAATTGTTCAAGGACATGGCCTGTCATGGTGCCACTGACTCATTCAGTAAAATCGTTTTGAGCAAGGATGCTTGCTGCAGTTTCCTGAGAGGAACAAATAGTATTTGAAAGCTACCTTTGATACCTGAAACTTCTAGAAACTATTGTAACAGTATCCAGCTTTTGTCTGTTGATAATGACTCTATGGTTTTTCAATTTTATTTCTATTCTTTTCTTGTGAGGTTGTAAAATTCATGTTAACTGTGTTTTGAGCACACCAAAAGCCTAACTGGGTGTCTAGGATTATTCCAGCAGTTCTACTTGTGGATTTGATCATTGTTCCAATAAAGGTTTCTTTTGGAGGCTGTCAGAAGTGAAATGAATGTGATGGTTGCCTTGAAAGAATATCACCATTCTGCTTATTTCTGAAGGTGGAGAAAGTTAGCATACAGGAATACCTGAGGAACCAGTTGTTATTCTATTCATATGAGAAATGCTTGGAACAGTTTTTTTTGGGCTAGTGACCGGTCACACTCTACAGTCTGTTACTTATGAAATTCTTAAGAACCTGCACTGTAGTTGGTACTGAGCAGTAGCACCCAAGTGAGCTTTGTTACGCTTCATCAGAAATGCCTGGTGCTAAATTAATCAGCTGTTGATATGAGAGCTTCAGGATTTCCATGTTATTGGTGTAGTCAGTAGCTCTCTAGGAAGATGCAGCACTACACATTTAAGGGCTGTAAGCAGTTCTCCACTCCTTCCCTCCTGCACCTTAAGAGCAAGTCAGTCTGGTCTTCTGATTGACAGCATGTTGAAGTTGTTTCAGCTTTTCTCCTTCCAGACCTGTCTCCTCCTTAGTAATGTTGTAAACTGAACTCACTGATCTAGTTACTTTTGATCATTTTAGCTAGACTCTGTGTAGCACAAGTGCAGATGCTAACAGCAACTTAATTGATCAAACTGCCATTTTTCATCAGACTAGCCCTCAAAGAGTGAAGACTTTCTGCCAAGGCACCGTGTTCCTGAGATCTTACTTTTTTGTTTTAATTTCATAGTTTGAACAACGAATTTTGAGAATTTTTTGAGTGCATTTTGACACATGCCATATAGAATGTTAATCACTAGTAAGGGTTGTGGCTGTTGGATAACTAATGACACCTGACCTTCCCCAGTCAGTGTCCAGGACAGCAATCTGCAGCCCATGTGGTGCAGTAGCATTGATACCTTCAGTGAAGAGCTGGTTGCCACTATGGATACATTCATGTCGGATTGTATGCCAACAAGCAGGCTTACCCAACTGATTCTTGGTCCATAGAGTTAGTAATAAGGTGCTGAGTTGATGGAGGAAAGCCCTTCAGCCAGGGGAGTTTGAAGATTTAGTTCATTGGGTAGTGGAGATTGAGGTACTGTTCTCATGTGAGTTCCCCAATTAGTGTTTCAAACAGTTTGCCTTCCTTGGTAGGAGTTGTATAGTTTGCTGTAGTAGGTCGATTTCAATGGGGAGACATCTCTTTAGAAAGAAAGCTTGCTATCCATGAGGCTAGAAAGTATATGAAAATGCTGGGGAAAAGCAAGAATCCAGGTATTTGATTTTTCTGGAAGACAGTCTATATTCTAGGCTAGTAGGAAATAGCAAAGCTCCTCTTTGTCTTTCAGGTTTGCATGGCCTCTTGTCTGGTCTGCTTTTAGGAGAACCATAGTAGCTGGTGAAATATTATATATTATTAGGTGAAATGCTTGAAGAAACTGTGTATAATGCCCAGGTTCAGGTACTTGTGGTTCAGCCTAGAAGCCCTGGAGAACAGACTTCTGGTGACTGTGTCCTCTCTTAGGTATGCATGTTGCCTGAGATAACAGCTGAACCAGTTGCAGCCTCATTTGGGAGAGAAGAGCTCACTTCCCACTGGGAGGAACGGAAAAGCAGCACTAGCTTATGTGTCTGGAGTTTCGCTTCTAGCACACACAGCCAAGTTGAACAACAGGCTTTTGTGTGGAAGTAGCAGTATGTGGAAATCTGTATGGACTTTATTCAAGCATAAATCATTGGATGAAGAGTAGTGTTCCTCTGGAAAAAGACAGTGTTTAGCTAGCCTCTCATTTCTCTCATTTGTCTTGCTTGATAAAAAGGATACTTCCCTTTTTACTCAAGTGGGTGTTGAAGTACTGTGACATAACTAGGGTTTCAAAGCCTGTTTCCCCCTGCCCCCAAATATCTAGTATTAATGTTGGAAGGCTGAAATGAACTGTATCCACAAGTCACTGTCAAACTGAAGAAATTAATGTGGGTTTTTACAAGCCAGGATACACTGATCATGTATGCCAACATCATGAGGAGCAAATAACTGCTTACGTTGAATGCTTTTGCAAGTTTCTCATCTTTTCCTCTCTCCAAATTTTTACAGGAAAATCACCAGCGTGTTAGTATCTTCTTTGATTATGCAAAACGTGGTAAAAATACTGCATGGTCCTATTTTCTGCCAATGTTGAATCGACAAGATCTTTTCACTGTGCATATGGTAAGTTTTGAATGAACCTGTCTCCCAAGATGGTACAGAAGAATGCTTGTCTTATTTTTCTTTAGGAGATTTTGAAGTCTGATGCTAAACAACTGCCTGGCCTGGAAAGTTTTTCTCATGCAGTCTAGATCAGTCATTCTTAATACAAGCTTGACTGGACCACATTTCAGAAAGAAAAGTTACGTTGTTTATTGACAGTGGTTTTTTTCTGGGAGATTAGAGCAGGTTTTAAAGTTTCAGAAAAGCAAGGATTTTAGAATTAAACACTAAGACATAACTAGAAAAATAATTTCATCTCAACTACCAGTCAATGCTCATTGTGCTGTACAAATACTAGAATTTAAGTTCTCATCCTGTGAAAGGGAAATATCTTTACCTTGATGAACCTTAGTCTCTCGTATACTCAAATGCTGCTTGAAATCTGCTTAAAATGGTTTATAAGCATGCTGGGGAAGAAATAATACCTGCTGTTGTGGTGGGTATACCCTGGCTGACAGGAAAGCTCCCACCCAGTTGCTTGCACAGTCCTTCACAGCAGGACTGGGGAGAGAATTGGGAGGGCAGAAGTGAGAAAACTCATGGGTCAAGATAAAGACTTTTAAAGGTCCCTTCCAACTCAACACATTCTATGATTCTAAGATTAAGACAGTTTAATAAGTGAAGGGGAAGAAGGCAGGGAAAAAGCACAGCTCAGCAACAGCTAAAATTTGGTGTGTTATCGACACTGTTTTGGTCTCTAGTCTGAACCACAGCATCATGTGGGCTGCTATGAAGAAATTTAAGCCCATCCTAGCCAAGTCCAGTACAACTATGTGTGTTGTATGGTATCTGCAGTGCCTTGAGCCACTGAGTACTGCTTGTGTACGTGGAGTAACTTTATTCTATGCCCAGTATTTCTCTGCTCACAGATGTGTTATTCAGATAGTGTTTTCTTTAGGTACTGCAAAAACATACAAATAACTTTGTGAGATTCTCTGTGACGTAGAATGTGAATCCACTTTAAAACTTTGTACCTTATTGTGCCTTTTAGTACTCTTTGTGTGTATATTTATATGTTTTTTTTAGAGCAAATGAATGTTTTCAAAGCAGAGCTTTAGATTTGTGTTGGTTTTGTTGCTGTATGTTTTTTTTCCTCTTTACTATGCACACTGGAAGATTTTTGCTGCCCCATCGTTGTATCTGCATAGGCAGATAGAATTACTTCAGGCTCAAATACTGCTAGGCATGAATGGTTTCTTATTCAGAGATCAGGTAGCATGCTGTTTTAACGCAGGAGCACAGTAAGCTAGCAGTCTAATGTTTTAAAGCTAAAGGGATTTTTATAGAGTTACTTGGCTGCAAGTGCAGAAGAGAAGCACTAGAGAACATTTAGATTTCTGTATGGGGCCATCTTTTACCTTAACTTGACTTCCAGAGCTTACACAATTCTTCACTGAATCCTGAAATTGCTGCATTAGAAAAAAAATCTGGTTTTGCATTTTCTTTCAGGCAGCAAGAATTATTGCCAAACTGGCTGCATGGGGAAGGGAACTTATGGAAGGCAGTGACTTGAATTACTATTTCAACTGGATTAAAACTCAGCTCAGTTCACAGGTAAAAAGCTATTTCTGTTTAAATGTTGCAGTGACTTTGGAAACAGTTATCAAATTCTGAGATAAAGACAGATAAGTCTTGAGTAAATCCACACGTAAAAAAAGAAAATACAAAAGGAAAAAATTTAAACCTCCATATACCAAGATTAGCTCTAAGCATATTCTTCTAGTCAGGGTGGTTGTGTGAGGAAACAAATACAATATATTATCATAGTATATTGAGCAAAGAAAGTATCTAATAGATTCTTAATCTTTTCTTTTTATGACTGAAGTGATGGGAGAACTGAAAGAAAGTTGTTAACTGTTCTGTAAGGGTGAAAGACAGCTCTGATTTTAACCTTTTATTTTTTTGCTAGAAACTACGCGGTACAGGCGGTTCTGTGGAAGCAGGAGCAGTCTCCACAAGTGATGTGAGTATACCTTTGAAATCGTTCAGTCTGCTGCTTTGGGCAGGTGATACCCACTCCTCAGATTAAGGTGCAGAGCTGTTGTAGTGTCAGTAATAGGAAGTACTTGGAATCAGAACTGTATAACTGAGCGCCAGGTGATGGCGCCAAGAAACAAAAGTATTTTTAAAACACTGATTTCACAGAAAATGGTGGCAGTAGAAGTATGTATTTTACAAGTTGATTTGGATTGTTAAAAATGTAGATGTATCTAGCATTCTCTTTGTTAAAACTTGAAAAAGTTATATGCAGTTAATCTCATATTTGAACAATACTGCCTGTTTAGCATTGAACTATCTGACTTGTAGGAGTAACCTGAGACTAAGAAGCTTGTGGCTCTTGTAACGTGCAGAACTCGAAAAAGGCATATCAGATATTGAAGCTAACGTTGTCCCTCAGACCTCTGTAGCGTGAAATTACAAGAGGTCTTTCAAAGCTGTAAGACTTTCATATGTGAATAGCTTAAATTCAGAGGAAAATAGATTGTCCTTTTCTCATCAGTATTTATACTGAATTTAATATAGCTATAATGGCTTTTGAGCTTGGAGATGAACTGCAGCAGTACAGCAAGCTCAAGTGATCATCATAACTGGATTTTCTATTTTATTGTGGCACAATGAGGTGGTTTATTGTAACTTTTGAATGTGGAGTAGGATTCAGTGTGGTCTTTTGTTCCTTTTGCAACCTGAAGGTGTTCATGGTTTTTCAGAAGACTTAAATGTGAACCTGGAATTTGTTTCTCTTCTAAATGTAGTCATAGCTTTAAAGTGTGAACTTCCTGTAGAGAAAAGCCTCTTAAATTACCACCTGGCCAGGGTTTAAAATAGAAAAAAATGGAAGGCTATTATGCATGACCATGGATGGGGGGTAAAATTATGGCCTGAGCTTAGAAGTTGAAGTATTTCTGTATTTCATGTGCAGTTCTGTGCACCATACTGTTAGGTTTTGTTAGGCTCACAGCCCTCTGTCATAGAGTCTTAACATTAGATAGTTCCACAGCATGCAACACCACTCGTTATGGAGCTGTGAGCTCTTCTGACTTGCTTAGAAATCCATATTCATTGTACTATAGCACTGCGTGGATGTGCCATACTACTGCAGGGTCCCAAAGCAGCAGAGCTGATAAAGCAAACACGTTCTAGGATAGTTAAGTTGGGTAAGTATTGTCTTGCCTTTGTTAGTCTTCAGATTTCAGATCTAGCTTGTGCAGGATTTCCAAGCAGATCCTAACTGATTTATTTCAGAGTAAGTTAGAGATGCAGTTGTACAATTTTACACAGGAGACGAGGGCTAGACTGTTTTATGGAATTTCAATTATAATAGTGTTGGAGGAGAATGCTTTTATGACAGACTCTCTAAAAATTAAACTCCAAGTTCAGTAGTAGACGTGTTGGTGATGCAGGTAAATTAATACATTAATTGGAGTGGGAGGTCTGTCTGTGTGTTTACAGCTGTTTTATTTGCAGGATGTGTGAAAGTGAATACCTACCCAGAGAAGTCAACATTCTGTATGATGATTTGAGCCTGGATGTTTAGACTGGTTTTTTATGTAAAAGTCTTAATCTCTGAGAGATACGGAATGAATTCATCTTTATTTTAAGTTATGTTTATTGTTTCTTCTCTTCATATGGGATTGCTTGACTTTCTTACTCCATTAAATGTTTGAAAGGTTTGATCTTGCATTATGTGAGTGTTCTACCATAAGCCTTTCAAGACACTTAGTAAAGAAAAAGGCTTATAGGGAAAAAACCCCAACATTTTATCAGCAGTGTATTTGAGTATTGGTGAAGACAATGCCAGAAGTTGAGCAAGAAGAGAGAAAAATATGCTGCTTCTCTTGTGATGTTGGATCTTTCTGTTGCTGTAGCGGGAGGGACAGTGGGTTGGCCCAAACTCCTTTTTTGAACTGCAGCCCATTTATGTGTTACTGCACAGAAAATACATGCTTATAGAGATGAAAAGCTGTTAAATGATTCTGTCTTTGTGACTGCTTATATAATAGTCTGAATGAAAATAGAATTCAGTGGTCCATCTCTTGGCATTTTCTTGATAGGAAAGTTTTAGTCTTATTATTCTTTTCTTAGCACAGTATACTATGCTAAGCTTTTAATGAAAAGAAATAAAAAATAAACTCAAAAGCTTAACTTTGAGGATGAATTTGCTTACTTGTTTTTCTAATAGTATTTTTTTGTGTAAATATGAGTCTCATGATGATAAGCATGGTACTTCCTGTGTGGCACATGCATAGGAAAATATACATTTGTAATGACACCACTGCTATTTTGAGTTGGAGAATGGGAGTGGGAAGAACCTGAGCTCAAGATTTCTTTGTCTACAGTGACCTCTAGCAAACTTCTTCAAGCTTGGTAACCAGCTTGCTGATTTGTTTCCCAGAGTTTCCTCAATGGAATAACAGTTGACTCTGTGGATGAAAGAGCTCTGGTAGTATAATCAAATGGAAGACAGCCTTAATTCATAGATATTGAAGGAAGGCATGTTCAAATGGGCTATAAAAATCTGTTATGGTAATGTAGAATGATATCACTTGCATAACACTTTTCCTATTCAAAATTCTTCTCCATTTATATTTTGCTTCCCACTTTTTCTTGTGAGGTTTTATTTTTTTTTTAAATAGAGGGGTGTAAAGCATTATAGGAGTGAGCCTGTTTAACTTGAAAGTGTTAGTGAAGAAATGTGTTGAAGTATGCCGGTAAAGGCTAGTTTGGAAAACTAAATTTCAGCACTTGCTGCCTAACTACTCTTGTAAGAAATGGTGTTCTCTTGCTTTCACCCAGAGTTCCCAGTATGTACAATGTGTTGCTGGATGTCTGCAGCTGATGCTCAGAGTCAATGAGTACCGCTTTGCATGGGTAGAAGCAGATGGAGTAAATTGGTGAGCATTTATTTCAATTTATGTGGATATACTTGCACTTACAATAGCATGTTCCCCAGTGACCTCTTTTGGAAAAGAACTTTCCTGCAAAAAACCACTGCTTTGTTTGAGTACAAAACCTATTTGTTTTCAAACATTAATACAATGAAATAGACAAATGAAACTTGCAGATATAGGTGCCAGTGTTGAGGCTTTAATTTTGCTTTTCTCTTCGTGAAGAACTGCTTAAATAATAAATATCTGAAGGGAAATGCAGCTATTTGTTTTCAGCAGAAGATGCTATGTTTTTATTTAATAGAACAAGGACTAATGAATTTAATTTCTCCTGTTCTTCCTTATCGTTCAGTTTGGAGTTTTTTAGTCTGAAAATATTAGTGAAAGGAGAAACATGTTTTAGAACTAATCTCAATTTTTTTTTTCCCTCACATAAGTCTTCAAGTAGGTCATTCTTTTATCCAGATTCTCTTCATAACTAGTTATGCATGACGGTAGGATGTTGTCACTCACATTATTTAAAAAAATGCTTGCCTGTAATTTTTCTGCCATGTATGCGTCTCCTGGGGAGAATTTGCACTTTAAGAAAAAATACTCATGCACTCTGTAATGGAGAAAAGTCAAAAGTTGCCAGTGAAATGAAAGTTCAAAAGATGTTCACATGTGTCAAGATGACACAACTGAAGCAAACTTTTTCACCAAGGAAGCTTTTTAGCATGCTATTAAAACATTACAATAAGCCTGTGTTTCAACAAATTTGAATTTGTCTTGATTTTGATAGCAATGATCTTGAAAGGGGTTGGCTTTTTTTGAAATGGACTTGTAAATTGCTTATTAGATTTTAAAAACTTTAACTGAACAAAGCTTCTGCATAATTTCTTCTTGGAGATCTTGTGATACTATTTCTTCTCTAGCAGTGCTTTGTATATCTGTGATGTGTTATATCTATAAGCTGTTTTCTGAGAACTTGCTTGTTAAATAATGACTACTTCTCTCTTCAGGCACTCCAGTGGAGAGATATAATTAGGAAAACAAGTTCAATTTGTGTAGATTTCGTTCTGTTTACGCCTTTTTCTTAACTCTGAAGGAGTAGCTATTTGTTTCTCTGTTTTCACTAGAATGGCAAATTCCCTAAACATGCCAGTAGAAAAAGAGTCTCGATAAACCTGAAGATGAATACAGTACCACATCAGTTCACATGGGAAAAGCTGCTTTATGGCTGTAAGGCCAAGGAAGAAATAACTGTATCTTTAAAACATGGCTTTCTGAACGAGCTGCTTGTACAGTGATAGATACTGGTGCAGGACACTGTGAATGTATTGGAAAGCAGCTCTTTCCAATACATTCCTGTTAACCTTTTATTTTAATGTTTCAGGGTGGAGCAATGCAATCTATGTAGTCATTATTTAAAAATTAAGTGTATACCATGTTAATTTTTCAGTATCATGGGAGTCTTAAGCAACAAATGTGGCTTCCAGCTCCAGTATCAGATGATTTTCTGTGTGTGGCTGCTGGCATTTAGCCCTCAAATGTGTGAATATCTCCGTCGATATAATATTGTTCCAGTGCTGTCAGATATTCTTCAGGAATCTGTCAAAGAGAAAGTAACTAGAATCATCCTTGCAGCATTTCGGGTAAGTGTCTGTTGGCTACAATCACACTGTGTTTCTCTCAAATGTGTAGATCTTGGATGTTGCTGATGCACAGCTGTTTCTGCAAGACTGTATCAGTAAACTGGATTGAAAGGTTAATTCTCCTCCTGCTCTTTTTTTTTTTTACTTTTTGTGAACTGAGTTTTGCTACAGGTAGTAGACATGCTATTACAAGTAATAGATGTCTGCTGTTCAATAGGTTCTTCAAATACGGTTGACTAAAAGATCCCCTTATCTTAACACAGGCACTAGTGATTTCCCTTCTTTAGTTCAAGGTTCTTTTTTCTACTGGTGCTACTACAGAACACTAGTTACTAATATGTGATAAATTTTGCTTTACAAAGCTTAAATTAAAAAAAAGTTGTTTTAAACACACACATGTATGTTCAACTGACTGCCGTAGAAATTATTTTTATCTGCTAGTCTAAAAATCTTTTCTTCGTGGCTCTGTCAAAATGAATGACAATATCCATGTAAGACTGATTAGTTGGTTTTATTGTGTCCATGTTACCTGAAAATCACTGGTACTGGTTATTTGGAATAACTGAGCACTGAGGCTTGATGTTTTCATTGTGAGAGAATCCATTTTTGTTTGTGGATGCTAATTGTGCATGTGCACATAGTTTTGTGTCCATGCTTGTCGAGTGTCTTGTAGTTCTGTTTTAAAACAGGATTTGTATCCTGAGTATGAGATGTAGGTCTTGGAAACTGTTTTCCTGAGTGTTGACTGTGTTGCAAGCACATTAGGATGAGGAGAGGGGAATTGTTGTCTGCTGACTTGCTGATCAGCAATAATGAGCTGTGCGAAGATACTTACTCTGTGACTTAAATGGTCTTTCTAGCCAAAAGCATCTGCCACCTTGAAAAATATCTGGATAAGGTAGATCATAAGAATATGCTATTTATTCTGTCAAATGAGGTCAGTTGTGTGAGGTATCTGCTAAGGGCTATTCTTACTAGGTAAACCTCTGTAGATCTTCTAGTGTTCCTCAGGATCATAATGTTAGGATTAATCAGGGACGCATAGCAAGACAGCTTGAGAGGAAAAAAAAGTAAAGTTGAGGAGCTCAGCAGTTTATATTCAACTTCTTCTAATTCTGGGGTCATAGAAAGTAGGAAAAAGAATTGCTAGTTCTTAGATTTAGTGAGTTTTTGCTGCAGGAGACAAAAATGAAGCAAAATTATTTTAATAAATAAAGCCTAAGAAAGAGTAAGATGGTTCTGTGACAGCCTTTGGGGAAATTAACTTGCTTGTTTTCCTTTTCCAACATTAAGGACTAATGTTGGCATGAAATGAGATTATAAACTGGCAGCCACAAAATAATACATTAGAAATTATACATCAGAGCTATGAGTTCTGAAACAAAATTAAAGCAGGTAGCAGAGGTAAAATAGCCTTTTTTCTGTGTGAGAGGCCACAGGATCAGTTTATGAAGGGGAAAAAGAAAAGTGAGTTGCGTAAAGTGATTAGGCTTGATGATTCCCCAGGTCATCCCTGCTGCCTGTGCATTACTGAAGCTATGCCATGAGTGTTGGCAGCCTGCATACGTGTTCTCTGCTACTTGATTTCTCCTAATTTGACTTGTTTTGCCTCTTTGGCAAGTTAATTCCTTGAAGTATGCAAGTGTAATGTAACTTTTTTCTATGAAGCAGCAGATATTGAGAGAGAGAGTCCAGCGTAGGGCTACAAAGATGATCAAGGGAGTGGAGCATCTCCCTTATGAGGAGCGGCTGAGGGAGCTGGGTCTCTTTAGTTTGCAGAAGAGGAGACTGAGAGCACTGGAACAGGCTGCCCAGAGAGGTTGTGGAGTCTCCTTCTCTGGAGACATTCAAAACCCGCCTGGACGCCTTCCTGAGTAACGTCATCTAGGTGTTCCTGCTCCGGCAGGGGGATTGGACTAGATGATCTTTTGAGGTCCCTTCCAATCCCTAACATTCTGTGATTCTGTGATTCTGTCTACTTTGGATCAATTGCTTTTCTTTTTACCTATTAAAATGTTTTTTCCTAATTTTTCTTACTTTATTGTCTTTTATGTCTGTTTCTTACCTGTAACTCATTTTTTACCGTAAGATTTTTTTCATCATTGATTAATTTAATGATCTGTTTTATTTAGTCAGAGGTTCCTGTTTGTACTTTCCTAACATCCTTTCAATTTCACTATAAAAAACTTGAATATCTCACTATGGTATGAGATAGGTAATAATATTTGGAGTAGCTTCCACATCTGCCTATAATTCTCTTATCTAGGAGATCTTTGAGATCTCTTATCTACCTACTCCTTGAACTTGTTGAATTTTGTCTTTTAAGATTCATTATTTGTTCTTATGCTCTCGTTAGCACTTTTAACTCTAAGCAATTTAACTTTACTTTCTGTAAATTACCTTTTACTTCTCAGTTCTCTTACTGAAATAGAAACTTTTTTTTCACATTAAAGCTAATTGTATGTGGCCATTAAAAGCAGTAATATGACATTTTCACTATGCGAGTTTTAACACTTATTTGCCATGTTCTGCCTTACTAACTCATATGATGTCTGATATCTTAGAAAACTTAAGTGTAGTGGTTCTGTGACACAAGTGAGAGTGATGCAGTCAAATTCCTTCCATATAATTTCATTGCTTTTTCTGATAGATGTTAAGGGCTATTTATATGAACACATGTTCAGTTTGCTTTGTCTTTTATATGGAATTAATGGTTTCAGCTTTATCAAAAAGTGCAGGTGGCTAGCTCTGATTGAACAGCATAATTTGAAGCTGATTAAATTGAGTAGAAATGTAATTAATAAATAACATTGGAACCTGACTGTTACATTTTGTGCTTGTAATTCCAGTCTTACCAGCAAACTTCTGTTTGAATAAAATTGTCTAGTTGGAATATTCCCAGATTCAGAAGAAGCTGGTCTAATCCAGATGGTAACTCTTGAGTTGGAAAGATGACTTCAGGTTTTTTGTTGTTTTTTTTTTAATGTGTCCTTGCTTTATACTATTGCTGCACAGAAAGCCAAAATGATAATCCCAGAAAAAAAGTAGTTGCTTATCACAGAGACTCTGGGATTTGGGATATAAGCCTGCCTCTTTACTTTGAATAGTGTTTGTAGTCAGCCTGATTTGATGTGGAAAATAATCAAAGTAGGAGAATTACTTTTTAATGCTGAAGCACAAATGGTTGCATTACTTCTGCCTTACCAGTGTGTTTGGTTTTTTTTTAAGTTCCTCTTCATCTGTTCCAGTGACAGATGGCAATACTCTCGTGTAGTAAGGTCAGTTCTAGGCAATTTGTGCTACTAAATGTAAGTGTAAAGCAGCCAATGTGGCAAAATCATACTTTACTTCTTTGGAGAGATTATTTTAGGAAGTGGTCAATTCTGTCATTTACTAAATTAAAAAGTGCCAGTAAGAATTTCTTAAAAATACCACTTTGAAACAAAGTAGTCTGTTCTTAAAGCAAACAAAATAAATCCATTTTTACTTTCCTAGAATTTGTTAGAGAAATCTACTGAGAGAGAAACTCGCCAAGAATATGCTCTCGCCATGATTCAGTGTAAAGTTTTAAAGCAGCTAGAGAACTTGGATCAGCAGAAATACGATGATGAGGACATAAGTGAAGATATCAAATTTCTACTGGAGAAGCTTGGTGAGAGCGTGCAAGACCTTAGGTATGCTTTGCAGTGTGAGCTTTTAAAAAGTGCAGTTATATGAACACTGGTAATACTTTTTTCTTTTTTTTAAGGCTAAATAATATACAGAATTTTAATACATAAATGCTAGTTGATAAGGTAGAGCATATAGGGATGCTGGTTGTATATAAAAGTTTCCTATTCTGAGTGAGTATTTACAGGCTCAGTAGAAAACTTTGACTTTTGGATATGTGATCTTTGTAACTTATCGTTAAAGAACTTCAGAGGGCTCTTATAGAAGTTCCAGACTAAGGTGAAGACTACCTGATTAGAATACATTTTGTTGTCCAGATTAACTCGAATTTTTGCTAGTGTTTGCCTAGTTCTTGCTCTTGTGCATAAATTGAACTGCATTTGAACTGTTCGTGTCAAAGATTTAATTGGATGAAAAGCAAGAACTGGGATCCTTGGTTGGCAAAGTTAAAATCTAGATAAACGGGAAAAGTAGCCAATTAAAGTTCTAGATGCTGCAGTAGTGTGACTTGGGTTTTTGGGTGTGGTGGTGTTTTTTTTGTTTTGGTTTGTTTTTTTTTCCCAGGAATTGTGTTTTGGGGTAGATGGAGGGCTGTGTTTGACAACAGTTTTTTCTCTTGCCTGATATGCCTTTCCTTAGTTTTAAAGTCTTAAACTCTGAGACAGGGAACAGTTCTGATGCTCTGCAGAGAGCTGACTTCCAAATGTGTCATAGCAGGTTGTGCTCCAGCTTTTCCTTGCTAGGGATGGGCTTAGGCATGCAGTTCAAATGCCGTTCACAGAAACTTAGCCAATATTTGATTTAGGTCTTTTGTGTTGCAGCTCCTTTGATGAGTACAGTTCTGAGCTCAAGTCAGGACGACTGGAATGGAGTCCTGTACACAAATCTGAGAAGTTTTGGCGGGAGAATGCTGTAAGACTAAATGAGAAGAACTATGAACTACTTAAGTAAGTTTTCAAGTCCTGAATCTCATAATTTGTAAATATTCGCTGTGTTTAACTAACCTTTATCTAATGCAGGTTTTACATTTCAGTACAAAGTAATGTCTGGAATGAAAGCAAGTCGGAACTTCCTGCTGTTTTTAGAATGTATGGTCCTTACTCACGTACAGTCTGTTTTGTTAGAAAGCAGAATTGTGTATGTTTACTGACCAAAATGTCTTGATGATGACGATAGACAGAATATCCCTAGCTTAACCTGCACGCACGTTTGACATTGACTCTTTTAATGCTTTCGCTTGAAAAACAGCTATACTAATTGATGCAAATAAAAATGTTATTACTATACCTTAGTCTTAGTTTTGTGTTGTGTGTTGTCATTGATCTGAATAATGAACTCCGTTCTTGAATACTTGGGGGTTGTGGTATTGTTCCATGGAAAAATCAGACTTGCTGTGTTATATTGCAGTCTTTTTTATCTTGGAACTGTTTGCTGTATGTAGATTGTTAGATGAAGTGAAGCTGAATTCATCTTTTCTTTTGGAGTCAAGGATTTGCAGGCTTCTGAAAGTGTGTACTCGAAAGATGTCTAGGTCGTAAATAGCTTGTAGGAGCTCTTAGTTGCCTAACTGCATTGTCGTTGTCACTCATTATATGTGGTGTTCTTCCTGTTCAGTGTTTGCTAACAAGTGTCAGACCTAGCAGAAATCAGGAGGTCGAGTGAAGCATGTGAGACATTGGAAGGCATGGCAAGAGCAAGCTGATCTTGAGCTTTGTGTGTTTTAGTCTGCCCGAAACCTCACCAAAACAAATCTGAAAAATTCCTCCCTGAGGTCATATTGCTAAATATGTAGGATTGTAGACTTAATGTTAGATGCTGCCAGCTGCGACATGAAGTTGATGTTGAGGCTTAATATTTCCTGTAGCAATTTCAATGCTTTGCTGTATTCATCTCTCTTGGTTCTGGGACTGTTAGGTAAGTTTATTGTGCTTGTGCTGCCACAGAGATCTACAATAGTTCCTTTAAAAAAAAACACAAAACAACCACCAACCAAACAAAAAAACCGCACAAGAAGCCAACCATCCCCTACAATGTGGTAGGGAGACTTTTGCACCTCAGAACTTCTGTTTTGCATTGTAAGGCACTTGACAGACAATCCTTTCTTTGCTTCAAGCCACAGCACTTTTTTTTTTCCCTTATCTGCCTTCTTACTTGTTTTCTACCTCTAATATACTTAAGCTTACTGTTAAAGTTATTTTTTTTCCTGCTTTCTGCCATTATTGACTTCTTAAGCAGTGATGCCGGACTTGTCTTTTGTTCAACAATATTGTATGGATCTTCAGTGTCTTCTGGTTAGTGTAATGGTTCAAATTTCTGCTCCTACTTCCTACCCAAATTATGAGTTCTCTTGAAATGAAAAGTGCTTCATCTGTCACTTTCTGGCCTCTAGGTAGGCAGTGGCTGTGGTAATTTAATTCTACCAGAATGTTCTTTTTTTTTTTAATTCCAACTGAATTTTTAACCTTCATAACTATTTCAACTTGTTACTAACTTTCTGTGATTAGAACACATTTGTCATCTCACTAAGCATAGATGAATCTATATTTCCAGTGATCTGTATGTTTAACCTTTCAAACTTATTATTAGTGCCTAACCTTCGTGTCTGTCGTTTTCCCCCCTCTTCATTACTGGCTAGAGAACAGTGTTACTTGTAACTGTTTTCTACTAAAAGTGATTAAACTACTTAATTACAAAATGCAGACAATATTAGTAGTTGAGAAACTGTTTTCTAATTCTTACAACTCTATTTCTGTTCATGCTAACAAAATAACCAATATATGAAATTGGAGTCAATTGCAAGGTATAGCTTTCATCATCTCAGTCTTTGAGTCAGGACAGAACTGATGTTTAGACCTACAACACTTGGGTGACTTGTAAAGCATTTTTATGGTTGCAGGCTTTATTATTTTAGGTTATCCGTTAGTTTAAAGAAACAACAGTGAAGAAAACCCAAACCAAAATAAAACAAAAAAACCCCAAGCCAAAATGTGTGACTTGACTGTTTCAAATCCTTTCCTAGAATCCTGACAAAACTTCTGGAGGTTTCTGATGACCCACAAGTGCTGGCTGTAGCTGCTCATGATGTGGGAGAATATGTACGACACTATCCCCGTGGGAAACGGTAAGAAAAACGCCAATATGCCATTACTCAAGAGACTAGCTAGAGTATATACTTTGCCTGTGGCTTTTTTGCTTCTTTATATTAAAATATGCTACATAGGGATTGCAGGTTATACTTAAGTTTAGTTCACTGGGAAAATGAGAAAATAAACAAGATCATATGAGAAAATACAAATAGGTCTTCGACTGAATAGATTTCAGTGTCTCTTAACAGTGAAGGGAACCTATGTCTACAGAAGCCTTGAATAAGTTGTTTAGATTAAAGCAGAAGGCATGGACCAGAAGAAATTAGAAGAGCTACTAAGAATTTAATCAACATATCATTTTTACCCTCTGTTATTACTACTGGGCTGTAACTATTGAATTTACAGTAGGGATGGACTGTTTCAACAATGAATAATTTTATTTTGTGACCTAAGGCTACTGAGACAAGATTTTTCTCTCAAACAATTGCTATTGTAATTTCAGTGTTAGCAGAGTGAATCTTTGCTATTTTGGCATGTTTGCTTTTAGCTACAGAAATACACATTTTGGTGTAAGTGTTAATGATTATCATAAATGTGCCAAAATATAAATTGCTGTAATTTCTTGCTTTGTTTTGTCTTAAAAACCTGTGAGCAAAGATGTTTGTTTGGTGAATAATTGTATCTCTAAGGTAGAGACCACTGAAGCAGAAAGAAGCCTTTGGCTTTTGCAGGAATAGTGCTCATCAGTCACCAAAGGGACACATGACTTAATTTTTATAGCAAAGAATTGGTCTGTTTCTGGTTTCTGCATAGGGTTTAATGGGGAGGATGAGAATGGTCTTCTAGGCTTGTTGGGAATTTCACGAACACTTCTTGTGCAGGCTGCTATCTTGACAATAGTAGAATTCCGAACAACAGACCGAAATTTCATGCCATGTGTATGCTAGAGAGATTTGTTCAGTGCAGAAAGACTCACAGCCCTTGTAGTCCTGTAGGCAACTTGAATTGAAGATAGTTATTACTGGAACAAATTAGCTGTTTTCTAGCTCCACTAAGAAAGGTTGGAGGTGTTCAGTGTGTACCACTGGTACTGAGCAGTACTGTGTATTTGCTAATTAGCTTCTATGTCTTCCAGAAGATATTTATGGCAACTGGTATTTGGAGACAAGGCAAGATACCCTCCAATAAAGTGAAAGGTCATAATGCTGCCATAATCTTTGAACAGCTTGCACGCATCTACCCAAATGTGGCATGATGCTTGGGCTTCTGTGGCCATGTGGTTTGTAGACCAAAGCTATGAAGTTGGATGAGTGGATAAACAGGACCTGTATCTCTCTGTCTGTAGTTGGGAAAATGCTTGTGGGACCACAGCTCCATCCAGCTCCCAGGCTGTTAAACCTATTCAGAAGTGCGTCAGCCTTCGAAAGGATCATCATCAAATTACAAGTATCCTAGATACTCTTCTTCTAACCCACCTTTATATGAAATTCTGATACTTCAGCTGCTTTCTGCTGATGGACTTGGCTTATTTAGCTTTGTGTTCTCATGGACAAACTAAAATGCCTCATTCTCTTTTAAATAATTTCCTTTGTAATTCAGTGTATTCTTGCTAAGTATGACTTCAGTTTTGGGACTAAAAGCTTAAAATACCTTAGGACTCTGTGTCGGTTCCCGTGTAAAAGTCCATTTCTTACCATGATGGTTTTTGGTGTTCAGCTGTTCACTGCTCCCACACCTAGTTGGGATTTCACACTCATTGTATGACTCACTCTGAGAATGGATGCTATTTGCTGGCTTAGAAGAAGAGAAATAAAATGTCTTAAATATTTTTGTTTCCTTTAAGTGTTTATCCTCAACTCTTAACTGGATCGTCCTTCAGCCTTCAAAGGCTGCAGAACCTAAAACTTCTTGAGTTTACCTGCTGTACACCTGGAGTTACAGCTCTGGCTAATATTTTCCGTTGTCTGACAAAAGAAAATGTTTTTTAAAACTAAATACTGCCTTTTTGCTTGGCTGTTCTCTAATACTGTCAACCTAAATAGTTTTAACTTGCCTTTAACATTTCTCATTGTGAACCGAATTCTCAAGGCAGTAGCACCATGGGCTTCTCATGAGACTCACCAACATGCATTTTCTGTCACTATAGCAGCAGAAATAAAGTACAGCGTTGGTGTTTGCTGTCACTGAAAATAATTGTAAATTAAACATCAGCTTCCAGTACAACTTCCATGTGCCCCAAGAGCTACTGCTATGTAAGATCAACACTTTCAGTCACCCGAGTGCCATGAACATGGATTTTATGTTTTGCATGTGCAAGAAATTGACACCTAGAGCTATTCCCTTCCTTAGCTCATGATTCAGAAACAGCTTAATTGCTTTCCCTTTTCACCTTGGTCTGCTTTTAGATATTTAGTGTGGAGTTTATATTAATATTTTTTTGCTGTAACAGCTATAACTGTTCACATTTGTCTTCATTTCTTGTTTCCTCTTTCTCCCTTTAAATGGGTCATGTTAAAATCTGCCTTTTCAGCATCCAGAAACTTGTTTGAATTGCCACTGTCTTGGCTCAGTGCACTGTTATTATAGGGAACAGTCCCCGCAGAAGCTGTGCATGTACAGTAACTGGTCTGCTGGGCTCTATTACTGCTGGAAAGTAAGCAGAAGTTCAGGAGAGGGAAAAGTAATGTTTTCAGCAGGTTTGGAGCTTGTAGGAATGGGATACACTGTGAACCTTCCTCACAGTTGCTTACCTTTCGGTGTAAAACGTGGCTGGAAAGTGATTTGTACCAGTAGGCAGTGTTATGCAAGAACGATAACGCTGTTCTTTGACTCTTCATATTCTCAGCTGTAATTTCAGTGATGTACCATTATCTGGAATATTCCATTTCCATTTGTGATTGTAGGATATTAGCTTTTCATTCTGATTCTTTTGTGCTTTTTTCAATTTAATGCCATTTATCTTCCTTTTAATTCCTGAAAATTCAGTGTTTAAGTCAGTCGTGTAGTGAGGAAAAAATTCTTGTTTGTGTTTCATAGTCTTGTCCTTGTGTGCAGTGGTTTTATATTTAACTCATAATTAAAAATGTGAGGCAGCCTAAGGCAGATATAAAGGGCTGTTTGGATTTTTTCTATCTGTTGCATTACTAACAACTTCTTGAATTCTTGGCAAGGATTGTCCAGCTTAAAACAGTTCTGCTTTTCTGAATACATTGCTGTTGGATGCAAAAATTTAAGGATGTTTTAGTACTGCTGGGAAATAGTCTTCCCTGTGGTTTCCACGATGGTGTTGGCTGAGTTATAAAAGGAAATGGGAAATTATCTTTTTCATCGCCACACCATATCTTTATGCAGTTCTGCAGTTTATAAAAGCATATTGTGTTGTGCAGCAATAATGCATTAATTTGGCTGTGAAAAGGACTGTAGGAGAAGCAAACAGCTAATGTGAGCTTAGAGTGGCACCAGGTTAATGGTAATGCAAATGATAGCTTCTTCACAGGATATCATGTTTAACTGCTCAGTGTCCTGTGAGATAACCAGTGTAATAAAAAAAATGCAAGTCAGTGAGTAATCAGTTTATATATTCCTTGCAAACTCTCCCAACTTTTTGATATGACAGACCAAAATGCTGCATGTAGAGAGTCATCCGGATGGTAATACTTTTTCAGGTTTTAAGTCTGTTGCCTTCTGTTTGTGGTTGTGGGTTTATTTTGTTTTTTTTAAAGAAATGATATATTTGTGATATGTGATACAAAGTTTCATCAGTATTTTGTGTGGGATTTGCTGCAGCTATTACAAAGCTATGGCTGACCGCTGTGGTGAACTTTGGAGTGAAAGATGCAGCTCAAGCATGCTGTTCTTCTAGAAATGGTAACTTAGCAGCCAGTTCTGCATCTTGTGCAAGAGCAGCTGTGGCTCTAGTACAGCAAAAAGCATTATGAGGAGTACCAGGTGGCTGGTTTAATAGGTCTTGGTGTGATTACAAGCATTTTTTTCTGGATTAGGCAGTGCTGGACTGGTTTGGGGCTTTATTCTTACAAAAAATGGAGTGACCTGGTTACCAGGGCACTACGTCCTCCTAAATAATAATTGATAGTGCTGTGTTCTCCCAACCCTTTCAAGCCAATGTTGAGTTCTTTAGCAAGCTGGGTGAAGTAAATAACCCTCTCTGAAAAGGGCTCTTTCCTTGATTGTTGTTTATTTAAAAATTTATGGAAGTAGATAGTGGGGAGCAAACAGGAGCCTGATATACTTTCTGATGTTGTGAATTCTTAAAATTAAGTAAATAAAAATCAATAGGTAGTGTGAGATCTGCCTTTGTAGCATGTTAAATAAGATATATATATTAAGACATAAATACTTCTAATAAAATAAGTATTATGTGACTTAATCTTAACCTCTTAATGCTTTGAACATGAAGTGGTTGGATAGGCTAACTTCTCAGAAGCAGAAGTAAAGTAAAGAATACTGTTTCCTTCCTCTCTTTCAGAGTGATTGAACAACTTGGTGGTAAACAGCTGGTAATGAACCACATGCATCATGAAGACCAACAAGTTCGTTATAATGCTCTACTGGCTGTCCAGAAGCTGATGGTTCACAACTGGTATGTGAAGGTTGTTTAACATAGTACTAACAGTAAGAACTATTGGGCTGTGGAGAGAGGATGCAAGACAATAGATTTCTTTAAAGGGGAAGTAACATTTTAACGTGTTAAGGCTGCAGCTCTTAAATGATAGAGCAATCTGATGCCAGTGTGTAAGATCTTAGCTAGTTTTTCTGCATATTTTTGTCGCAGTTAAATTGAGTAGCTTGACCTTGCATGATTGAATGTCACATGAGTAATTCACTCAAAATATGTTTTAACTTATTTAAACTGCTTAATATTTAATACTAGCTGTAATTCAGGCTTGCAAAACTACAGTCTTCAAAATGTTAAGGATGTGTTGTAGGTATTGTAGCAAGTTTACTTAATATTGTCTGAAGGAAACAGTAGCTTGAAGTAGTTTTAAGAGTTGATGCTTCAAGTACTTAACTGGCTGTTGCCTTGCACAATGTGTGCCTGACCATTCTTTTGCATTGTTGTTTTTTGCTTTGGTCCTTTTACCCATTCTACGTTGTTATTTCTCTGTTGCCATTTTAAGGGGTGCAAGTACAAATTTTCTTGAGCTCCTGGTGTAGCAGAAGCTTATGGGCTGGTTGGTTAATTGAGCTTGAAAATCACTCCCTGATTTTCATCAATTGCTGAGAATAGCATTTGAAGTGAGGTTTTTCATTCATTGTTTGTTGATTAATTCTCTGACTAGTTCTCTAATAAATCAACAAAACCCCTGAAGACCCAGTGTGTTCTGCCACAGAACTTGCTGATGGGTGATGCTGCTTTTCCAACAGAGCACAGGACATTTATAATGAAGCATTGAAAGGCTGAAGTTCTGAAAAACTGTAGTGTTCACATAACAACTTTGTATAACCTGCCCAACTAATTAGGTACACTAAGCATAAAGCTTGGAGAGTTGGAAATACTAATTAGGAATTCTTAATCTCTTAATTATGATTTTATCAGAACTTGTATTTCCAATTTGGCACTGCCTTAGAGAAAGATAAAATGAGACAGTACATCTTAGTACATTGGAACACGGATGTTGAGATACAAACAAGTAATTTAATTTTGGACCTAAACAACCTATTATTTCTGAAGATCTTGGAAGTACTTATAACTTCTGTCATTATTTTTCAATTCTGACATAATGTGATCTTTTTAAAAGGCTGAGTAGTGATGACGATAGCAGTGTGAAAATGGTAGGGGAACAAGGTTTATCAAGCACATTTTGACAGGTTCTTTAAGTCACTTACTTGCTGTAAAAGGCTAACAAGACTGACACAGTGCAGGAAGAGGGGACAGGAGCTTTTTATCTTCTGTAAAACAAAGCTAGGGGTTTTTTCCCCTTCTCTTTTGAGGAATATGGGATTTAACTCTTGTGTGTGTTACAAAATCAATTTTATCCTGCTTCCTTCCTCTCTCATTGTGTGGGAACCTTCTATAGCAGAGAAACATGTTTAAAAAGCCTACTATGACAAATCCAGAGTTAACATTCTCTACCTGTGTAAGGAGCACTTCAGTAAATACCACTGAATTTCTCTGTGTGGAGACAGAGACTAAATGTGTGGTCACGTGCAACCTAATTTTGGGGCAGTATTGCATATTGCACTCCACCCTGCTTCTCAGTTTGGTGATATGCTCCCTTTCTCACTAAGCTGTTCTGATGTATTTGAAGTATTCTGAGTATTATAAACTGGCTTATAGCTAAATGGAGATTACAGTGGGGAGGGCTTAATTACTGAGTTTACCTTCTGCGGGGGGACAGGTCCTATTCCATGTGTGTTCTGATGTCTTGAAAGTCTAGTAATAAAAATATAAACCTCTGGTCTCTCTCTAGCACTAACTTCACTGGTAGTAAAAGTTTCCTGGATGTCTAACCTGGCTTTTTCTCTTTTTCAACTAAAGCATACTAATTTAAAAAATATCACATCTGGTCTTGTAGATTTCTTTTTTTAATGGCATGAACATTTCTGTGCTGCGTTTCAGTTTGTGAACACTTATGCTTGAAACTGAAAGAGAGATAGCAATTACAGCTACTTTCAGATCTTCAGAGGTGTCAATAAAAAGGATCTGTTTAAGTAAGTGCCATTTTCAGATTCATATTGTCATCTCTCAAGGAATGTGTTCTTGTCTAATTTTGATTGGAACAAGCCTCTGGGACACATTGTCCTTGGCTTGTGTTTGCCAAAGTAGTGCTCCCCCTGGAATGGACACTAGATAGCTTGAGCTAATGAAATGACATATTGCTTGTAGGTGGAAAGCTTTGTATATATCTGGCTTTTGATGTGTGTCAGGAGCTCTTCTGTTTCTTTTTTCTTGTGTGGGGAGAAGAGAGAGCAGAGTCCCCTGATTTCTGCACAGTGCAGTTCCAGTGTTTACTTAATTACATTTGCTTTGTCATAAGATGGTTTACTTAGCAACTTCAAGGTTTTGCTTATCTTTCTGTTCAGAGCTGGGCAAACAATAACCATTTTCCCTCTTCCTTCCTTGTGTTTTGGAATTCCAGTTATTTCACTCAATGCAATTGATTTTTTTTCTTTGGATTTAGTTGGCATGGAGCAACTCTGTGTTACTGTCTGTGACACATGCATGACAATGTCGGGCATAGGCTCTTCCTAGATCTAGAGGCTAACTGAGGGAAGGATGAGAAAATAAGGGAGAGGATAAGCTCTGCCAAGTTAAGGGTTGGTGCAAGTGTTGTCCCTGAAGCAGCAGAATAAGGAAAACTTTTGGTACCTGAACCGAGATAGTGTCATGGGGCAGCTGAAGTGGCATTCTGCTAAAAACACAGCTGTATCATTAGACTGCTAATAACTCAACTTGGAGACAATTAACTTCTAAGTAATTTGAATAGTTCATTACAGGCTGCTCAACTGGCTTTCCCTTAGGAGTTTTTAAGTCAGGGATAAATGGGGGGAAATCAGACTGTCAGGCATTCTGTCTAATGGTGAAATTGAGTTGGCAAAAGCAGTAACTGCTGTCAGTTTTTCAGATGAGGTAAGTTGAGGTGAAATATTCCTGATACATTTGCATGTTAAATGATCACATACTTGATGAAGCAGGGAGCAAAGGTATCTTTTTAGCATCACTTAACGTCTTTAAAAACACAGGATAAATTACCATTTAATCTCACTTGAACTAACTGGGTTAGTCATGGCACCCTATGCTGATTGTAAAAAACTTATTGGCAGGTGGGGGAGTTTGGCATGGTAATGATGGTGCAGATTTTTTGTGTCCTGTTCAATTTGTACTTTAACTATGTATGAGAAACATCATCTCCTTATTCATTGTCTTTGCTGGTATTCAGAGGCAATACCCAACGTGACCATTTTAGTATTAAGAACTGGTTTTGGGAACCTAATACTGGTTGGAGCAATGTCTTTAATGATACAGACTTGAAAAGAATCAAAGAATTAAGTTATAAAGTGACAGCACTGACATATATCACTTTAAAGAAACCCGGTATGTTAATCTCTACAGATGGAGCACATGCCTTTCATGTGCTTCACGGTACAACGTTTTACTGACATTCAGGGATGGGATGTTGTGACTCAAAGCACCTACAGTTTGAATCCCAAATTCAAAAATCCTTCTGTGAACAATGGAGAGAAGCAGGTTGTTTTTCAGAGCAGTGCAGAGCAGCTTCAGTGCCTGAAGTCGAGCAATGAGAATAATCTTCTGTCTTTAAGATTTGTGAACCTATAGCCTCCTGGCTTCATTCTAAAGGGATTCATTTCAACCTTCTATTACTTCACTAAAATAAGAGCTAGATGAAGAGCCAGGTGAATTCTAGATGCTCTGCATTTCATGTGTAACTTATTTCTAACCTTACTGGTCAATTGGAACATTGTGCGTTAGTTTTTCCCCACTTGCTAATCTTCTGGCCGGATTAGGCCCAAGGTAGTTTGCTCATGGCTCATGTAGTAAATGCAGTGTATTACTTTGTTCTTGTTCTGTCAGCAGCAGTGCAGTTGGGAATTGGGAACCAGAGGCCAGAAATAAGAGAGAATTGTTACAACATCCAGTCTAGCTGAACTGTGCAGAGGTGGATCATGTGTTCTCTTTCTTCATATATAAATGTAAAGTAAAACACAGTGGTTTAACCTCTATAGGTCAGAAGTTCTTCGGTATTCATACAAGTGCTACTGATGAAACTATGATGGATCTGAGTGCAAACTTGTTTATTTTTCCTCTGGCTGAGTCAGGGTAATGGGATTAGCGACCACTGACCAAACTACTGGACTGTTTTGGTCTACTTTTCTGCTTATGCCTTCATAGGGAGCTGCAGTTATCTCTCTGGGGTTTCACATTGTGGTCATGTTTTCTGTCATGAGATCTGCACTGTTTGTAAAATATCCTGTATTTTTTCGAGAGCGTCTTTTTTGCAAATATCAAACATCCTGCTCAGTTTGCATTTTCTTTTTCCAAAGAAATTGTTCACTTTCATGGGCTATGATGAAAAAGCATGTCGTCAAACTAGTACTTTTTTTGGTAGTTTCATTTCTGATTAGTGTTACTTTAAAGATTTGTTTTCCTGATAGGATAACTCAGTTAACCAGTATTTATGTCAGTCATTCTGAAATATTCTGTGCTCTTCAGTGTTGAAAGCATTTTGCTTACTGTTCATTGTGGCAGCTAAGTCTTCTGATTAAATATAAAACCACTTTCAAAACAAGTTGCATGGTTTAGTGAAGTTGGTGGTTCTTAGTTTACAGAATGGCTCTGCGTGTTAGCTCATAGTGCATCTTATAAGTAATGAATGACTTATACATTGTCTCCCTTACAGAAAGGCATATACTTAATTGAGTTTCATAGATTTTTCTTTTAAAATCTAATAAATTGAGTAATAGCCTTGTACTAAGAGCTCATTGATCTGCAATTTCTTTAGAGCTTGTATGCAAAGTTGTGACCTGGAAGTCTAGAATTATTCTTCCAAAAAATGGACAAAACCTCTCTGAAGGGAAACTGCTGAATTGAAAAGGAGGTTCTTGTATTGTCTCAGTCTGAGCACAGGCATTAATTTTGCATTTCACATCAGGAAGGCTATGAACTATGCTATGATTCAGTAATCAGACAATCTGTAGTTGTCTATTAATATTATTGCACTCAACTGAAGGCAGGCTCCCAGTGAGCACTGTTTATAGTTTGTATTGCTACAGTAGACAAATACTTTATAATCTTTAACACATTTCTTTTTCTTGAAATACTTAATAATGCATTAATCTGCTGAGTCAAGGAAGAAAACTGTATTTAGCAAAAAAGTGACAGAGGAGAACTGCACTGTTTTCCGTTGTGGTATCTCTCCAACTAGGGCAGTCCTCTTAGCCCAGCTCTCTAGGAAGATGTCTCTTTTATTTTTTAGAATTTGACTTTTATGGTTCTACTATTTTTGTTTACTTCTGTGAAGAGCAGTGCATGTAATGTAGAAAAAATATATGTATATATTTTGTACATAATATATACAAATACTGTGGTATCATTTCTGATCCAGCAGTATGACATGTTAATATTCTATTTCACTGTCCAAATAATAATTAGCTCCAGATTTGATTTCTGAGCCTGGTTTATTTGTCTCTTTATGTTCTCTGGTGACTTCTGTGGCTCTGTAGCAAGGCAAGTGCATCTGTGGTGTCCGTTCAGGAGCTCTACATGCCTTTCTCCTGGCCAGCGCTAGTGTTAATGTGACACTGCAGGAACCAGCTTCAAGGGAGCTTGTTAGCAGAAAAAAAATCATTTGAGAGTGAAATGAACAGAAAATACTGGATGAGTGCCCTGTGAGAAAGGCAGGCACACACAGGTGACTGGGTTCAAGGGTGGCCGTGCCAGCTTTGTCCCCCACTGGATTAGATGGGGACTTGAGAGACAGTCGCAACTTTGTCCTGGTGTCCTGCAACTGCCTGTCCTGTGACTTTTGTGTTTAACTCTTTGTTGTATCTTTATGACTAGTCTGCGACAGTGTATATTAGCGATGTCTTTTGAGTTGCTTGAGTCGTGTGGCAGACTTTTTATTGCAGCTTTATTACGCTTCTGTCTTCTTTCGTAAGGGGAAGGATTTAAAACTGGCTTTTCATTTTCACTTTCAAAAGCATGGGACTCGAGGTTTATGCTTAGATTGACAAAGACTAATATAAAAATATTGATTTTGCTCTAAGGAAAGCAGACTACCTCTTAGGATCCTCAGTCTGTTAAAACAAGCTAGAAATTATAGATGTTCAAGACATTCAAATATTTTTTTTGATAACACAGTTCTTTAATAAATTGGGTTTAAGCTAAATGTTCTTAAAATAGGAAAATTTCCCCTTCCCTTCCTTCTATGATTCATCTCCTCTTCTTCCCTTACCTGCCAAAAAGAACAATTTTCAACTTTCCTTAAAGGACAGATAAATCTAACTGCACTGGAATTTAGAGTATAACACTAAAAGTAGTAGTTGGTAAACTGCAAGGCTTGTTCCTTTTACCACGTGACTTCTGGAAATCTTTTGTATGTACCTTAAAACTTTCCTGTCTGTCAGAGTTTGCTTGTTGTTGATTGTGGTCCTTTGCCTAATCTGAAAATTAGTATAAAATTTTCAGGTAGGGCCTTGTGCCAGTTTGCAATTCTTTCCTTGATCCATACTTGTTGAATTTGGTGGCTTATGTGTTGGATCAGTTCCTTGTGCCTTTTCCTAAACTACCTTTAAGCATTTTTTGCAATTACCATAACACTTAAGTATATCTCAGCTTAAGGGTGTCGGTGTCTCTCATATGCCAACAAAAGCAATTAAATTAAATGAAGCAACAAATTGGACTAAGGATTAGAGATGCAACAAATTCGTGTATTCGCCTCTAAGTTTCCTTTTCTTGGGAAAGACACTTTGCATACTGCAGAAAACATGTGTTTAAAGATTAGACCTGAAAATGGGAAATCGCTAGTCTGGAAGGGATCTCACCTGGTTATTCTAAATGACTGAAAAGATTAATTTGCAAATGGAAATTACTTGTGCCTCACCCTCAGACTTCTGAGTGACCAAGGAAGTGAGAAAATGTGGTATTTCAAGTTTTGTTGACCTGAGCTTTAGTTGAGAAATGGAGGATTTTGTAGTTACTCCCAAAAGTGATGTGCTGCTCTTGCATGTTTCAATGCTTTCTGCAGTGCAGAGGTAATGCTTTTGTGAGCTAGTAAATTTATACCGAATCATTTCACAACTGAGTGCAGTTAACTGTAAATGCAAGCTTGTCTGGGCCAGCTTCATCTGCGTTGTAATAAGAATGGTTTTATGTTGAAGGAAGTTGGAATGGGGCTAAAACTGACCTTTATAAAGGCCTTTCTGCTCCAGGGGGAGGAAGACAGTTGAGGTGGAGGTCTGTGTTCCAAAGAGCTAAACATGCAAGCTTGAACTTCCAAGGTATTTGGGCCTTTGCTCAATGAACTTTACATCTTGATACTGATGCTGGAGGATGAATTGCCTTCTTGTTCTGTGTTGCATTGTTTCCAGTGCTGATTTCCAGTGCTGATTCCAAGTTAGTGCGACTAGGAACTGTTGCGAACTGTAAAAAATATCCATAGTGTTCACTTCTACAATCCCAGCATGGGGAGTATACCAAAATTATGTGTTTAATTGTAAATCTATCTGTGTGGGAGAGCACAGAGCTTTCCAGATACTTATTGACTTAAGGGAGCACCATTAAGCATGTGGTAACTTTCCTTTCTGGAAAGCAGTTACGGAATAAAGCATTATATGTAAACATGCTTAATATTACTGGACTACTGGTATAGTAAGACTGCACATGAAAATTGTGTTGAGAAAGAAGCTGTCTAAATCCCTCCTATCGGTCTCTTTTACCAGTTCCTCTCATAATCTGTCATAGACCATGCAAGAACTTGTCCTAAGTTAACCAGTGACACTCGGTTGGAAATGATAACCGAACAGGAAATTAACTGGTACTTGTAACAGCAGATGGGATAAGTTTTTTGCGTTTCAGTGGTCCTTAGTGGTGGCTAAAGAAGTAATGGAGTGGGGACAGTATGGGGATTTCACCTGGATTTGCAATGTGACAATGTAGAGAAGTAACTGTAGGGCTGTTCATTTTGTATGGGGAAATGGAGTAAGAGGTTTTTGCTTGTCCCTGGACTTAAACCTCACGCCTGCAAATGAATGACTGAAGTAAAAGGTTTTGTGGGGAAGATAATGTACTGTTTTCTGTATATCCTTACAAGTTGAAGGCACTAAGTGCTGTTAGGGTACTAAGTACCTACAAAATATGATCCTGCTCTGCCTTCTCAGTGAGTTTTGCTGAATATGCTGCACTAATGGTTGGATTTTACTAAGCCTGGAGCATGCATCTGAACCAGTGTAAGCTATGCAGTAGTTGCAGTGTTATGGATTATCAACAATTGATTTCCCTACTCTTAAGTAATTGCGTAGGAATTTCACATTAAAAAAGGTTCATGCATGCTTTAAGATTAATGAAACTTGCAGGCTTGTGATGCTGTGAGCAGAGCCATGTGTGCAGCAAGTGAGCTGAATGAGAGAGCTCATTCCCTTCCTAGCTATCAGCAGCCTCTACCTTGAGGGTGGTAACCCACCTATTATGATCAGGAGTCATTTCTATTGAGTGCAGCCCAAGCATTACCATACTGTTATCCTGTAGCAACACCTGATCATGCTGTGAAGGAAGGTGCTAAGTCATAACATACAGCTGAGCATACAAATGGTGTGTTATTTTTTGTGATGGTGGGGTTTGAAGTTAACATTACACTTCATAAGAATTTTGCTTTTCTAGATACTTTAAAACTGAGAAGTGCTGTTGGGTGGTACAGTTGTGATGCTAAACTTCATTTTGTGATAGTAATTATAATGCATAGGGAATAGGTGTTCAACAGTACACTAAGCTGAAAACTAGCTTTTGAAACAAGCAATAAAAATTAATAAGAACTGATCTTTTTTTTAAGTAAAGCAAAAGTGCATAATCTTAGGTTTGTTTTTGTTTTTTTTCTTTTTTAAAAAGGCTTCATTCTGAACATCATTTCTCTGAACTGCTTCTGGTGTTTAACCTGTGTAGGTTGAAATACCCATGTAGTGAGAAACTGTGGTGCTAAATGTACGATCAGCAGTGGAAAAAGAATGCCTACATTTCACAGGTCCAGAAACATGTCTTTCAGCTGATGCAGCGTACAATTATTGAAGCTTATTTTCTGTAACAAGCAGCAACCCAGATATTACTAAAGACTTCTTTCAGCTTCTTTGTGGTTCTGTGAAGTATTGAGCTGCTTTCACAGGAGACAGTGAAAGACAGAGACATTCACAAGAATTGTGCAGTGTTTTTCCATCAAATTTAGATGTTGTTGCTCAAGGTAAATGCTAAGAATTTGGGGGATGTTAGTTCCAGTGTTGAGAGGACAAGTATAAAGTTATGTAGTGCACTTTAAAACACAGGTGAGGAAAACAGTTTGAAGGAAGTGTTGGTATACAGTGGGCCTGGCTTGCTTTCTTCCTTTTCTTTCTACCAACTTGAATGTAGAGTTCTTCAGTCAGTGTCTGTTTGCCAGCATATGGGTTAAATTGCCAGTGTCTCCATTGGTGTTACTTGTGCTCATGCAGCTGGGTTATGGAAAGAGATCCTTTTAAATACTTTGCTGTAGCCTGTAATACGTGTATTCAGCAAGCAAAATCTGTGGCCTTCGTGGGTGTTCTGTAATAGTTACCAGGAGTTCTGAATATTATCATTGGGCTTCTTCTTTTTCCAAACACTTTTATTTATGCTGGCTTCATACCTTATTTTCAGAGGGACAGATTGTGGATACCTAAAGCCCGTGTACCCTCATGGTCGCTCCAGTTGACTGTCAAATATTAGTAGACATTATTTGAAGGAATAATTCTAGACTTAAAGCTTTTCCCTCTTTCTTTACTTCATACTTCCCACCACTGTCCTGTTCCCCGCTCTCCAGAATGTTTCTCAATCTGATTTTTTGTTTATTTCAGGGAATACCTTGGAAAGCAGTTGCAGTCAGAACAACCTCAAACAGCCACTGCACGGAGCTAAACACATCTGTCATTTCGTGCTTACAACTCCAGTATGTTTGTCTTTAAATTAGTATGAAGGAAACACTGAAATCTCATGGTCTTTGCCCGCTACTAGCGCATAAATTTTCCAGCTTTCCTCTAGTGCTGTTGGCTCAGTAAAAATCTGTTTGTTCGACTTGTTCTGATGATTATGCCTATTAGCTTCCTGTTGTATTCTGAATGTATATGAGGAAATGTGGCTAATATATTGCATTTGTTTTATGTATTTATTCTCATAATAAAGAATGTTATTAAAGGATATTCATTCCATGTTCTCTAATTAGCCTAGAAAAATTGTTCTCTTAGTGGATTATCAGTGTTGTCACGTTCCAAGAAAAGCCAGTAGTCCTTATATGTCTCCAGACAAATTAATAAAGCTTTGGCTTGCTGTTCTGTAGGAAATGCAGTAGCCTGAGAAATGTCGATTATCAGTACCAAAATATATAGCAAGTCTCAAAACAGTGTTAAAATTGTATATAAAAGCAAGTGTATGTTTTTTTGGGGGGTGAGGTACTTCTCTCTTGTCCAGACTTTATAATGTAGTCTCTGACATGAGAAAATAAACACTTTAATTAACTTTGATACACTTAAGATATTAGTTAAGCTGTATAACATCAAGGTTAAGGCTGTAGATCAGAGATCAAGTTATTTTTTTTAATTTAATAACACATGTGCAGTAACTGATGAACTTGGAATTTCATGGATTATTTTTGTTATTGAAAATACTTAGAGTTCTGATGTCATTCTAAAATCTATTGTATTTCCTTTATATTGAGCCAAATAATTTGGCTATCAGTCTTTTTTGTGATTTGTAGCTCCTGGTAGTAAAAAAGATGTAAGCATCAATAAATCAAAGGTGATATTGGATTGGCATGTGAAAACAGTCTTGCTATGTATATATGTGTGTGTATATATATATATATATGTATGTATGTGTAAGCATGAGATTGATACTTGCAACACTAAGTGGTTAATATTGTGATTCATTTTTAAAATGAAAAATACCCAAAAGATGAGAGAACATAGCTTATTCTCTTCAGTAGTTTTGTGTGGTGCAAGTCTCTGGGGAAGTTTTGGGTAATTTGTTATCAAGAAAAAACAAACAAACAAAAAACTCAACAAAAACAACAAATTGGGGAAGACTTTTCTTTCCCAGTGTGGATAGGTGCTGAAGCATGAAAAGAATTAAACTGACTTTAGTTGGAGGGTTATCTGAATGGATCTTATCTCAGCACTGCATGTTCCCACAGCAATGAGGGATACTGGTGGTGTGGAAAGCTGTTGGGAGAACTAGGGTGCACCTACATTGCTGTTTTTATCTTGGGTCAGTTGAATGCTCTTGAAATAAATCTCTGACTTTCCTCTGCTCTTCACACTACAATTTGCATCACACGATGGTCAGTCCATGAATGGGGTTCTTCTCTGATAAAGCTAAAATGCAGGATGTACATCCTGTGTGGCTTGGCTACTTGGCAAGTGTTCAGTCCACTGGACCAGGTAAGATTTTGTTTGAAGTACGACCCTTTTAAATGCATTTGGAATTAAAGCTGGATTCTTAGCACTAAATGTCTTGATCTACAAGTCAGATTCTCATATGACACTTCTCGCTGATGTAAGCATAGCCTAAGACTTACCCTCAAATGCTGTAAAATGTTGGTGCTGTGGCTACTGCTGTAATGTTGGGCACAAGATCCATGGCAGGGCATTTAATGGGGAAGGAAACCAGAAGTTTGTGGTGTTTCCTTGTCTGAAGAGAACACTGAAGGACTGCTGGTAAGGGAATTTGGGTTTGAGTTGTATAAGTAAAGACAATGAATGCTATTGATGGCAACCCTTCCTATTTTTTTGAGAGATTGCTGTGGGAGTTGGAGTGTTCCCTGTGTCCTAGAGGTCCTGGGGAATCTGGGCATAGCTGGGAGCTGGGGAGCTGCAGACTGGTTTTCAGCAGAACCCACAGGTTTTCCATCTCCCATCCTATGACAGGCCTGTACCTGTAGGTGCTGGGAGGCCTTGGATATATGGTCCCAAGAGAAAAAATGAGGCAGAGCTGTCCTGGAGCTTTTAACCTTGAGAATCAAGAAATTCAACCAAAAGCTTTTGTTGAATTTCAGCTACTTCATAAAACTTCTTACTGCATCTGTTTTTCCTTGCTACTGAGCAGTGTTTTTAATATTCACCTGTTTGCATAAGCTCATTTAACTTCCGAAATCTGACACGGGGCAGGTAAGCAGATGCCATGGTGACAAATTGAACGCTTCAGGGCTGTGGTGATGGTGTGGGTAGAGCTCGGTGTGTGTCAGCAGCTTCCTTCCTTCCCTCTGACATGAAGATTTAGAGAAATGGAGACTAGCTGCTATCAGTCTTCTCTTTATGATATTTTCCTCCATTTTCCTAATTTGTGTTTTCACTTTCATGTTGCATTCAAGAATAAATGGATTTAAATTTTCCTATAGTAAAAGTAACTGAGTCTTTGAAATCTTTATAAGCTAACTTTAAAGTTTTTCATTTGAGGTTTATTTTGCTTTTCATGATAAATCTGCTTAAGTGATTTTCTTTTAATTTTGTTCGTGGTCTGAAATCTAAATGAAGATAAATTTGAGTAAATTTGCAAGATGCAGCAACTGTGAAAAGAGTTTAAACCTGCCACAGTTCGATGCAGGAGGGATGGACGGGAAATATGAACGATTCTGACATCTGGAACAAGAGCAGGAAAATGCTTTAATCATATGCTTAGTGCATGTTTGTTATTCCCACAAGCTATTTGAGACCTTAAGGCCTGCAGCTGCATGAAGAGGAGGCCGGATCTTGGTCTTGGCCAGTGTGAGGTTCTCTGCTAGAAACAAACTAGGGCTGAGCAGGAGACAACAGCTGCCTGGGCCCTGGATGCACCACGCTCCACCAAACCTCTCTTCAGTAGCGCATCAGAGTTGCAAATGTGCTGTTGTGCACCTGCATGAACAAATGAAAATGTCAGCAATTCCTAATACTCGATCTGCTGGGTCTGAGGAAATCCTGTTGACTTCTCTCTATCCAAAGGCTTTTGCCGTTTCCTTTGGCAGCTTCTGCAGAGTAGTTGAACTGCCTTTTTAGAACTATGTGCTGTGTCAAGCTAGTGTTCTCACGATGATCAGATACATATTTAACTTGGTTATATTTGCTTCCTCTTACACTCCAGAATGATTTAAAAAATCTGACCTGCAGTTGAAATTTTCAAATGGCCAAGAGTATCATTCAAATGCCGCAGAAAGCAGCAGCCTTGCTTGCAAATGTTAGGTGTAGCATTTAGGGATTTACCTGGGAACTCTTCTTACCTTGGGGTATGGATATTTCATGGGTACAGTTGGTTCTGAGGTGCATCAGACATTGCTGAACACAAATGATACGCTAAAAACCATTGATAGCCTTTGTTTGAGAATATTGTTCATGACTTGCCCCTTGCTGTGAAGGTACTGTAGACTAAGGAGCACAATAAACGCCAGAAATGGAATATAATGGCAGATGGTTGTGCAGAGTATGTCGTATCTGTTACTTGGTTGTATCCAGGAACATTTCTGTGCTACGGGAACTTAATTTTTCTTGGGGGAAACTTAAAAAGGAAAGAAAGCCCTCTTTGTATAAAAGTAGGCAGTGGGACCATATTTTTTATTTTATTTTTTTTTTAATCTGATAATCTCACAGATTTTCCCAGAATTGCACAATTTGTCCCTCTGTGTGAAAACGAAATCTGCAGCAAGGAGCAATTAAATTTTTGATGACTCATCTTTGGTGCCATTATGTGCATATTAAGGATACAATTTTTTCAAGGCTCTTTGGTTAGTTTGCCTTGTCTGGATTCCATATAGAGACAAAACTGTCAAGCTGAAAATTTAAATAACTTTTTCACTGTCATAATAAACTATTTTAAAAAGACTGCACATGTTCAGCTCTGCCAAAAAATGGGCAAAAAAAATGCGTAGCTGATTGTGGCGATGACAATTAAAACCTATTGATTTGGAAATCACAGAACTGCTACAGTATTGGGTTATTTTGTCACAAGAAAATGTGATAAATTGCAGGCTTGAAGGTCATCATTCTCCTGTGGACGGAAGTGTGCAAAACAAGCCTGTTCTGTCAGGTTCAGGTGGCTAAAACAGCTTTGGATTACAATTGTGCCACTGTGGGGATCACAGCCTATAGTTTGGTTCTAGATGCATGCAAATGTGAGGCAAGATACCTTGATCATCAATTAAAAAGATGAAATATCTTTGACATAAAATACTGAGTAGACAAATAACTTTTAGAAATGCTCTTTTTTGTTGTTGTTGCTTTGAAGATTTTTCAGTTTTGCAACTTTTCTTTTTTTTCCTAGCAGATCATGGTATATTTTATTATCAAAGCATTTAGAAAGAACCACTTTGTATTTGACTTCCCCAGCTAGCACATTTGAACTGAGCTGGTCCTTTCCTATCCAAATGTACAGGCATGAGACCACTGGTGAGATACTGAAATCCATCTGGAATTTCGTCAATTTGGTGAAGTCCTTTTACAGGTGAAATTCCTACTGTGAAGTGCATGCATTGTACCTTCTGTTGTATTTCTTAATGCTACTCCTCTGTTAGTATTTCAGTCCTTAGTGTCATCTAGTTCTTTCTGTATTATACTCCAATTTAAATACATTGTGATACTTTGTCAAGCAGATGATGGATGTGATGTAGAATAAGGGAAATGTTTTAGAAAAAATTAGTTATCTTTCTATGACAAGAAAGGGCTATTTATACTTCCTCTGTCTTATATTTTACCTGT